TTAAAGAGGTCCCATGGACAGTTACTCCAATTTCCGCTGTGAAGCTTTGCAGCTCCTTCAGGGTTACTTAGATTTAAGTCATTTAGCAGACGCTCTTATCCAGAGCGACTTACAGTTAGTGAGTGCATACTTTTTTCATACTGGCCCCCCGTGGGAAACGAACCCACAACCCTGGCGTTGCAAGCGCCATGCTCTACCAACTGAGCTACAGGAGTTATCTTTGGTCTCTTTGTTGCCTCTCTGATTAATGCCCTCCTTGCCTGGTCTGTGAGTTTTGGTGGGCGGACCTCTCTTGGCAGGTTTGTTGTGGTGCCATATTCTTTCCATTTTTTAATAATGGATTTGATGGTGCTCCGTGGGATGTTCAAAATGTCAGATATTTTTTTGTAACCCAACCCTGATCTGTACTTCTCCACAACCTTGTCCCTGACCTGTTTGGAGAGCTCCTTGGTCTTCATGGTGCCGCTTGCTTGGTGGTGCCCCTTGCTTATTGGTGTTGCAGACTCTGGGGCCTTTCAGAACAGGTGTATATATACTGGGATCATGTGACAGATCATGTGACACTTAGATTGCACACAGGTGGACTTTATTTAACTAATTATGTGACTTCTGATGGTAATTGGTTGCACCAGATCTTATTTAGGGGCTTCATAGCAAAGGGGGTGAATACATACAGTGGGGAAAAAAAGTATTTAGTCAGCCACCAATTGTGCAAGTTCTCCCACTTAAAAAGATGAGAGAGGCCTGTAATTTTCATCATAGGTACACGTCAACTATGACAGACAAATTGAGGAAAAGAAATCCAGAAAATCACATTGTAGGATTTTTAATGAATTTATTAGCAAATTATGGTGGAAAATAAGTATTTGGTCAATAACAAAAGTTTCTCAATACTTTGTTATATACCATTTGTTGGCAATGACACAGGTCAAACGTTTTCTGTAAGACTTCACGAGGTTTTCACACACTGTTGCTGGTATTTTGGCCCATTCCTCCATGCAGATCTCCTCTAGAGCAGTGATGTTTTGGGGCTGTCGCTGGGCAACACGGACTTTCAACTCCCTCCAGAGATTTTCTATGGGGTTGAGATCTGGAGACTGGCTAGGCCACTCCAGGACCTTGAAATGCTTCTTACGAAGCCACTCCTTCGTTGCCCGGGCGGTGTGTTTGGGATCATTGTCATGCTGAAAGACCCAGCCACGTTTCATCTACAATGCCCTTGCTGATGGAAGGAGGTTTTCACTCAAAATCTCACGATATATGGCTCCATTCCTTCTTTCCTTTACATGGATCAGTCGTCCTGGTGCCTTTGCAGAAAAACAGCCCCAAAGCATGATGTTTCCACCCCCATGCTTCACAGTAGGTATGGTGTTCTTTGGATGCAACTCAGCATTCCATTCTTTGTCCTCCAAACACGACGAGTTGAGTTTTTACCAAAAAGTTATATTTTGGTTTCATCTGACCATATGACATTCTCCCAATCCTCTTCTGGATCATCCAAATGCACTCTAGCAAACTTCAGACGGGCCTGGACATGTACTGGCTTAAGCAGGGGGACACGTCTGGCACTGCAGGATTTGAGTCCCTGGCGGCGTAGTGTGTTACTGATGGTAGGCTTTGTTACTTTGGTCCCAGCTCTCTGCAGGTCATTCACTAGGTCCCCCCGTGTGGTTCTGGGATTTTTGCTCACCGTTCTTGTGATCATTTTGACCCCACGGGGTGAGATCTTGCGTGGAGCCCCAGATCGAGGGAGATTATCAGTGGTCTTGTATGTCTTCCATTTCCTAATAATTGCTCCCACAGTTGATTTCTTCAAACCAAGCTGCTTACCTATTGCAGATTCAGTCTTCCCAGCCTGGTGCAGGTCTACAATTTTGTTTCTGGTGTCCTTTGACAGCTCTTTGGTCTTGGCCATAGTGGAGTTTGGAGTGTGACTGTTTGAGGTTGTGGACAGGCTTTTATACTGATAACAAGTTCAAACAGGTGCCATTAATACAGGTAACGATTGGAGGACAGAGGAGCCTCTTAAAGAAGAAGTTACAGGTCTGTGAGAGCCAGAAATCTTGCTTGTTTGTAGGTGACCAAATACTTATTTTCCACCATAATTTGCAAATAAATTCATTAAAAATCGTACAATGTGATTTTCTGGATTTTCTTTTCTCAATTTGTCTTTCATAGTTGACGTGTACCTATGATGAAAATTACAGGCCTCTATCATCTTTTTAAGTGGGAGAACTTGCACAATTGGTGGCTGACTAAATACCTTTTTCCCCACTGTATGCACGCACCTCTTTTCCATAATTTTTTTTATTTAATTTTTTGAAACAAGTTCTTTTTTTCATTTCACTTCACCAATTTGGACTATTTTGTGTATGTCCATTACATGAAATCCAAATAAAAATCCATTTAAATTACAGGTTGTAATGCAACAAAATAGGAAAAAACGCCAAGGGGGATGAATACTTTTGCAAGGCACTGTATGTATACTGTAGCTAAGAAAGTAATACTAAGTATATGTTGTGTAGTAAGCTGTTAGTAGCCCATGTGCCTCACCCTAATAATTTGGTCTATTTCCCCCTAATTCACCTGCTGTTCTGACATGTAGCCTATAACCAGTTTTATAGAAATGTAATCATTGAATATTGTAAGAGCTTTCATTGTCTGATTATATGCCCCCTTTATTTATCCTACTGTTCTGACTTGGTGTACAGGGAGAACACTGTAAGAACGGCCCATGTTCTGAATTCTGTCCCTGTACATTTCAAAAGTGCTGAACAAATAGTTATAATGACTAAGTCCGTCCTAGCTCGCTCGTTAATGTCTTAATCGAAATTACGGATTGCCTCTTATCCGCTTGTCGTCCCCATATGCCATAGTTCGTACATCTCAATTGCCAGTAGAAAACACATTTGTTTAAGCAAGTCAGCCATATTAGCTATGTTCTTTTAAAAGGCAGAAAATGAGGCTGAATGAACTGTTTCGCTGCCAGACAAGGCTCCGCTGATAGCCAGGTGTAGCAGTGGTAAGGTGTTGGGACTGCTGTTGGGACTTACAGTTAGTGGGCACAGTTTGTCACCATTATAGTGCAATTAATGTTTAGTGTTGTGTAATGGCTTTGATGGCATGCATCCCCAACATTTATTTGTTTGTTTGCCCCACCAAGATTTACATGCTAAAATCGCCACTGCACACACACACATGCAGACACACGCCACCCGTACGCCGCAGCATCCCTGTGCTCTCTGGCCCATCGCCTAGGGGTCGCTATGTCAGCACAGCACAGCAACGGGGGGAGGGAGGCCACTGCTGCTCCGCTACTGCCCAGTCTGTTACGCAACCTGTTTATAAATACAGTGACACACACACACACGCGCACACACTCACTCACTCACTCACTCACTCACTCACTCACTCACTCACTCACTCACTCACTCACTCACTCACTCACTCACTCACTCACTCACTCACTCACTCACTCACTCACTCACTCACTCACTCACTCACACACACACACACACACACACACACACACACACACACTGATAAACATAAACTGATGTCAGCAGCTTATAATTACAGTATGGTCTACAGTACAGTACAATACTCCATACTATAAGTTGCATGACTATTCAGGTTACATTATGGCGAAATGGTATTTCCTGTGGAGTTAAAGAGCGACTGCCTTTAAAAAGCAACAAATCCCTTTGAAAACAGCCAATGTGGCATTGATGTGTCAGAAACAGTTATTCGAGTGCCAAAATGGACAACAACGTGTAAATAGGATACATTTGGTCATAAAGTCAGTCTCGTCTAAAACAGAGTTTGGAACATCTGTGCGTCACAATGGGTAAATGAAGGTTGGGTTTTGATTTGACGATGTCTATTTGCCCACGAACATAGGGTAAACAGCTGTGGTGATTGCTCTCTATCCAATAGCATAGACAGTGAGACAGAACTGCCCAGCAGCTCCGACTTTGTTTCCGTAAGACAACACGTCGCGCCTTTTTTACTTGAGAAATACTGCACCAAACACCTAGTTAGATGCAAAACCGTCAAAATGTATTACACATTTCTTGAGTTATCTTAGATTCATTCTGGGGATTTTGAGGAAGTGAAATAAGCTTCAGTGTTTTAATGGGCAGTGGTGTAAAGTACTTAAGTAAAAATACTTGAAAGTACTACTAAAGTAGTTTTTTTGGGTATCTGTACTTTACTTTATTACTTGTATTTTTGACAACTTTTACTTTTACTTCACTACATTCCTAATTAAAATTATGTACTTTTTACTCCAGACATTTATACTTTAACTTTAACTTTTGATACTTAAGTATATTTAAAACCAAATACTTTTAGACTTTTAAGTAGGATTTTACTGGGTGACTTTCACTTTTACATTATTCATTTTCTATTAAGGTATCTTTACTTTTACTCAAGTATGACAATTTAGTACTTTTTCCACCACTGCTTATGGGGGACAAACATCATTAACCAAACGTGGAATCGGTCAGGAAACACACCTCCAAGACTGAAATCTCGTTTTTCTATTGAGCAAGAGAAAAACACACGAGCCAATAGCCGTGTTCAGTGGCAGTTGAAATATCTCCTATACTGTAGGCCTATTTGTTGTGTGAGTGGAACTGTATTAAAGATGTAGTTAACTATGTGGGGATTGTGTTGTGTGGTTTGTCTCTTGTAGGCAGAGTGAGAGCAGAGAAGAGAAGAGCCAGGAGACGTTCTGAGGAATATAATATACAGAGAATATCTGGTATTAGGCTGAACAGAAGGAAAGAACTGTGGAAGGACTGAAGACACCTGCCAGTCAAGACTTACCTGAAAGAGACCACAGCTCTCCGTCCCTCTTTCTACCTCTTCTCTTTGTTTTTCATTCTCTCTATCCCACTCTCTCTCTCTAATGGGAGTAACTTAGAACACGTTGTTCCATCTCATGCCCCTGCTCCTCCATACGTTTCCGTGGCGATGGGAGCGCCCAGCAGGAAGTGATGTCGTGGAAGAGGAATTACTTTGCGTCGGGCGGTGGTGGCGTAAGTCCTGGTGGAGGGCTACAGGGCCTGATCACGACCCCTCGGACTATGGCCTCGTTTGCCCCGAGTAAAGGCCTCAGCAATGAACCTGGACAGAACAGCTGCTTCCTAAACAGTGCTCTGCAGGTACACACACACACACACACACAGACACACACACACACACACACAGACACACAGAGGCTATGCTGGACTGTCATTCTCAGTGATCTCTTACTCTCTGAGTCCCTGGGGAGCAATGATGGGGTGATGAGATAGTGAGAGGGAGAGAGAGAAAGATACAGAGAGAGAAAGAAAGAAAGAAAGAAAGAAAGACAGTGAGAGAGGGAGAGAAGGAGGAGGTATGATAGAGAGAGGGAGAGAGGGAGAGATTAGTTTCCCTTTTGTACTTTAACTATTTGCACATGGTTACAACACTGTATATAGACATAATATGACATTTGAAATGTCTTTATTCTTTTGGAACTTTTGTGAGTGTAATGTGTACTGTTAATCTTTTTTTTTTGGGGGGGGGGCAATGCAAATAGTCTGTATAGCCATTTAATTAGCTGTTCAGGAGTCTTACGGCTTGGGGGTAGAAGCTGTTAAGAAGCCTTTTGGACCTAGACTTGGCGCTCCGGTACCGCTTTCAGTTTTCCCCTCCCCACTCAGATCACTGTCTTAGCTAAATTCTTGCTTGAGAAATTACTCCTTTCTAATAAACTATTTTTGTTTATTTTTGACCATTTTAATTTAAAACAATCACAGTAAGGTATTTAATTGTTACCCGGAAATTATTTGATATTTAGATCAAAACGTCTGCATTGGACCTTTAAAAATGTAAATATGTAAAATATATAAAAAATGTAAATATATAAAATGTATGTTTTCTCTTTAGGTTCTGTGGCATCTGGATATCTTCCGTAGAAGTTTCCGTCAGCTGACCACCCACAAGTGTATGGAAGACTCCTGCATCTTCTGTGCCCTCAAGGTAGGTGTCCAAGGGCCCTTAATTCTTAGGTAGCACTTATTTAGCTGTTATGAGTGTGTGTGTTCTATAATGCATTCTAATGATGTTGTGTGTGTTCAATAATGCATTCTAATGGTGCTGTGTGTGTTCAATAATGCATTCTAATGATGCTGTGTGTGTTCTATAATGCATTCTAATGATGCTGTGTGTGTTCTATAATGCATTCTAATGATGCTGTGTGTGTTCTATAATGCATTCTAATGATGCTGTGTGTGTTCTATAATGCATTCTAATGATGCTGTGTGTGTTCTATAATGCATTCTAATGATGCTGTGTGTGTTCTATAATGCATTCTAATGATGCTGTGTGTGTTCTATAATGCATTCTAATGATGCAGTGTGTGTTCTATAATGCATTCTAATGATGCTGTGTGTGTTCTATAATGAATTCTAACGATGCTGTGTGTGTTCTATAATGCATTCTAATGATGCTGTGTGTATGGGTGTGTGTCTGTCTGAGTACATTGTGTAGTGTAACAGTGTTGGTGTGTACAGAGATGTCTGCATTGTATAATGTAGTGTTGTCGGTGTGTACTATGTGTGTGTCCGGCGGCTTGTGGGTGTGTAGTGGTGAATCTGTGTGTGTTTTACAAGCTGTTCTGTCTCCTGAGCCGCTCTGTAATTAATTGGCTGACTGAAAGAGCTGAGCCAGCAGAACCCACGCTGGGGTGCCGCACACGCATGCACACACACACACACGCACACACGCGCACACACGCACACACACGCACATACACACACACACACAAATACACACACACACACACACACACACACACACATACAGTCGTAGTCAAAAGTTTTGAGAATGACACAAGTATTGGTCTTCACAAAGTTTGCTGCTTCAGTGTTTTTAGATATTTTTGTCAGATGTTACTATGGTATACTGAAGTATAATTACAAGCATTCCATAAGTGTCAAAGGCTTTTATTGACAATTACATAAAATGTATGCAAAGAGTCAATATTTGCAGTGTTGACCCTTCTTTTTCAAGACCTTTGCAATCCGCCCTGGCAAGCTGACAATTAACTTCTAGGCCACATCCTGACTGATGGCAGCCCATTCTTGCATAATCAATGCTTGGAGTTTGTCAGAAATTGTGGCTTTTGTTTGTCCACCTGCCTCTTGAGGATTGACCACAAGTTCTCAATGGGATTAAGGTCTGGGGAGTTTCCTGGCCATGGACCCAACATTTCGATGTTTTGTTCCCCAAGCCACTTACTTATCACTTTTGCCTTATGGCAAGGTGCTCCATCATGCTGGAAAAGGCATTGTTCGTCACCAAACTGTTCTTGGATGGTTGGGAGAAGTTGCTCTTGGAGGATGTGTTGATACCATTATTTATTCATGGCTGTGTTCTTAGGCAAAATTGTGAGTGAGCCCACTCCCTTGGCTGAGAAGCAACCCCACACATGAATGGTCTCAGGATGCTTTACTGTTGGCATGACACGGGACTGATGGTAGCGCTCACCTTGTCTTCTCCGGACAAGGTGTTTTCCGGATGCCCCAAACAATCGGAAAGGGGATTCGTCAGAGAAAATGACTTTACCCCAGTCCTCAGCAGTCCAATCCCTGTACCTTTTGCAGAATATCAGTCTGTCCCTGATGTTTTTCCTGGAGAGAAGTGGCTTCCTCGCTGCCCTTCTTGACACCAGGCCATCCTCCAAAAGTATTTGCCTCACTGTGCGTGCAGATGCACTCACACCTGCCTGCTGCCATTCCTGAGCAAGCTCTGCACTGGTGGTGCCCCGATCCCACAGCTGAATCAACTTTAGGAGACGGTCCTGGCGCTTGCTGGACTTTCTTGGGCGCCCTGAAGCATTCTTCACAACAATTGATCCTCTCTCTTTGAAGTTCTTGATGATCCGATAAATGGTTGATTTAGGTGCAATCTTACTAGCAGCAATATCCTTGCCTGTGAAGCCCTTTTTGTGCAAAGCAATGATGACGGCACGTTTTTCCTTGCAGGTAACCATGGTTAACAGAGGAAGAACAATGATTTCAAGCACCACCCTCCTTTTAAAGCTTCCAGTCTGTTATTCTAACTCAATCAGCATGACAGAGTGATCTCCAGCCTTGTCCTCATCAAAACTCTCACCTGTGTTAACGAGAGAATCACTGACATGATGTCAGCTGGTCATTTTGTGGCAGGGCTGAAATGCAGTGGAAAAGTCTTTGGGGGATTAAGTTCATTTTCTTGGCAAAGAGGGATTTTGCAATTAATTGCAATTAATCTGATCACTCTTCATAACATTCTGGAGTATAATCAAATTGCCATCATAAAAACTGAAGCAGCAGACTTTGTGAAAATTTATATTTGTGTCATTCTCAAAATGTTTGACCACGACTGTACACTCATTTACAAATCACACCATATTCCCCATAGGGTTAGAGCTGCGATGTATCTGAGACGTTGTCTCAAATGACAAGAACCTTGTCTCAAACCGACAATAACTTTTGAACATCAGATTGGCAGTTACTTTCCCAAATTCCAGCTTCAACTTCGACTAATCTGCCCCTGGGCTCTCTCTGTAATACAGCCCCAATTTTCGGGCTACCCAAGAGGAAACGTCAGCTTTACAGAGGGGGTCAAGGCGAAGGGAAAACTGGCCACCTCTTCACTCCTTTCTTCTAGCCAATAATAAGATGGATGACCTCTCGAAACTGCTATTTTTTTTGCTTTTCTGAAACATGGCTCTCGGACAAGATACCCCCCATTGCTATCCAACTCGATGGATTCTCCATTCACTGGGCGGACAGTACAGTGGAGTCTGGAAAATCGAGGGGGGGAGGGGTTTGCCTCTACATCAACACCAACTGGTGTGCTAACTCGACCACTGTTCACCCATATTGGAATATTTTATGGTCAAATGCTGACCCTTCGACCTACCGAGGGAGTTTTCAGCTGTTAGCGTGACTGTTGTATACATTCCACCTCAGGACAAGAAAAATAACAAGCTGGCACTTAACAAACTGTACAAGGCTATAAACAAGCAAGAAAACCTACACTCAGAGGCTGCTTTTCTGGTTTCTGGCAATTTTAATTCTGCGCCACTAAGACACGTGATGCCCAACTTCCATCAACACGTCTCCAACACCACTAGGGGCGATAAAGTCCTAGACCACTGTTATTCTACCCACAAGCAAGCATAAAAGGAACTCCCTCGTCCGCCATTCGGCAAATAAGATCATGACTCCGTACTCCTGCTTCCTGTTTACAAGCAGAAACTCAAATAGGACGTACCCGTGACTCGCGCCATTGAGAAATGGTCACCAGAATCTTAGATTATGCTACAGGACTGCTTTGCTAGCGCTGATTTGGAATATGTTTTGAGACTCTGCTGATAACGTTGATGAGCTAACCACCTCCGTCACTGGCTTCATTATAAAATGTATCGGCGACGTTGTCCCCACGGGGAGGGTTCGCTGCTTCCCCAATCAAAAGCCCTGGACTAAACTAAAGGACAGGGCTACCGCACACAGAGCTATCGTAGACAACCCTGAGGCTACGACCGAGGACAGGAATAAATACAAGAATAAATACAAGAAGTCCTGCTATGACCTCCGCAGAGTCATCAAATTAGCAAAAGGACAATATATGAATAAGTTGGAATCATATTACACAGGCTCCGACGCCCGCCGCATGTGGCAGGGGGCTACAGTCCATTATGGATTACAAAGGAAGACCCAGCCGTGATCTGCCCAACGATGCCTCTCTACCAGACGAACTCAATGCATTTGGTGCACGCTTTGACAACAACAACAACAACATCATGCCGGGTGTTAGGGCCGTCACCGACCCAGAGGAATGGGTGATCTCGCTCTCCGAGGCTGACCTGAGAAAGGTCAACACCCGCAAGTGTGTATTCCAGGACGCGTTCTCAGAGAATGCGCAGAACAGCTGGCAGGCATGTTCACAGTAATTTTCAACCTCTCCTTGTCCCAGTATGTAATCCCCACATTTTAAGATGACCACAATCATTACTGTCCCCAAGAACTCTAAGGCTTTGCCACCAAGACTACCGCCCTGTAGTCACTTCTGTAATCTTGAAGTGCTTTGAGAGGCTGGTTATGGCACACATTAACTCCACCATCCCAGACACCCTAGACCCACTCCAATTTGCATACCGCCCCAACAGATCCATAGATGACGCAATCTCAATTGCTCTCCACACTGCCCTCACCCACCTTGATAAGAGGAATACCTACGTGAGAATGCTGTTCATTGACTATCTATCCATCTAGGACCTCTATATGAGGCAGAGTGGTAGGAAGGCCCGGAAAATCATTAAAGACTCCAACCACCCAAGCCATATACTATTTTCTCTGCTTCCGCACGGCAAGCGGTACCGGTTAAGTCTGGCACCAACAGGCTCATAAACATCGGAATTCGCTAATTCAACAATGAGAGGTTTGGAAGGAATCAGTGGCTAACTGCGAGTATCGCAAAGCAATCACTATTTTGCTTCCCCTGCCTGGTATTCGGTGGGGAGGGTGTGTGGTCCAAGTCTGGGATTAAGGATTTAAAACATCTGTCTGAAAGGGTCTATTTTCCAAGCTTAAAAGGATAAACATGCACAAGCAACACCATGGGCCAGAAAAGGTTGAAAACATTGGCCATGCTCTCAATCCAGCATGAATTCTTCCGCGTTCCAAACAACTGGGAACTCAGAACTTGGAACTGGGAAATCTCCGACTTCCGACTTCAGTGCGTTCAAGACAACTGGGAACTCTGAAAAAAACGAGCTCCGACTGGGAGAATACGTTTTGAACTGTCATCCAACTCGGAATTCCAAGTCGGGAACTCGGGCCTCTTTCTAGAACTCCAACTTTCCGACCTGAAAATCACTGACGTCATGATTCTACCTCGTTTTTTTCCAATTGTCTAGAAAGCACCATAAAACCAGAGAATGCCAAACTTTGATGACTAAGTTTCATGACAAAGTTTGCCCACAAGAAGGACCACCACGCCACCTTCCTGTTCAAGTGAGCACAGCACAACAACGGTCCAAAAATATATATTGTATACTGCTGCTTAAATAATGCAATATGATACTGTATGTATACCGTAGCTAAGAATGTAATACTATGTGTATGTTGTGTAGTAAGCTGTTAATAGCCCATGTGTCTCACCCTAAGAATTTGGTCCATCTCCCCCTCAGAACATAGCCTACTGTTCTGACTTAGTGGTGCACATGTAGCCTATTGCCTATTTTAGAGAAATGTCATCATCGAATATTGTAAAAGCTTTCATTGTCTGCTTATACAGTTGAAGTCGGAAGTTTACATACAGTGGGGAAAAAAAGTATTTAGTCAGCCACCAATTGTGCAAGTTCTCCCATTTAAAAAGATGAGAGAGTCCTGTAATTTTCATCATAGGTACACGTCAACTATGACAGAGGAAACAAAATCCAGAAAATCACATTGTAGGATTTTTAATGAATTTATTTGCAAATTATGGTGGAAAATAAGTATTTGGTCAATAACAAAAGTTTCTCAATACTTTGTTATATACCCTTTGTTGGCAATGACACAAGTCTTCACAAGGTTTTCACACACTGTTGCTGGTATTTTGGCCCATTCCTCCATGCAGATCTCCTCTAGAGCAGTGATGTTTTGGAGCTGTCGATGGGCAACACGGACTTTTTCAACTCCCTCCAAAGATTTTCTATGGGGTTGAGATCTGGAGACTGGCTAGGCCACTTCAGGACCTTGAAATGCTTCTTATGAAGCCACTCCTTCGTTGCCCGGGCGGTGTGTTTGGGATCATTGTCATGCTGAAAGACCCAGCCACGTTTCATCTTCAATGCCCTTGCTGATGGAAGGAGGTTTTCACTCAAAATCTCACGATACATGGCCCCATTCATTCTTTCCTTTACACGGATCAGTCGTCCTGGTCCCTTTGCAGAAAAACAGCCCCAAAGCATGATGTTTCCACCCCCATGCTTCACAGTAGGTATGGTGTTCTTTGGATGCAACTCAGCATTCTTTGTCCTCCAAACACGACGAGTTGAGTTTTTACCCAAAAGTTATATTTTGGTTTCATCTGACCATATGACATTCTCCCAATCCTCTTCTGGATCATCCAAATGCACTCTAGCAAACTTCAGACGGGCCTGGACATGTACTGGCTTAAGCAGGGGGACACGTCTGGCACTGCCGGATTTGAGTCCCTGGCGGCGTAGTGTGTTACTGATGGTAGGCTTTGTTACTTTGGTCCCAGCTCTCTGCAGGTCATTCACTAGGTCCCCCCGTGTGGTTCTGGGATTTTTGCTCACCGTTCTTGTGATCATTTTGACCCCACAGGGTGAGATCTTGCATGGAGCTCCAGATCGAGGGAGATTATCAGTGGTCTTGTATGTCTTCTATTTCCTAATAATTGCTCCCACAGTTGATTTCTTCAAACCAAGCTGCTTACCTATTGCAGATTCAGTCTTCCCAGCCTGGTGCAGGTCTACAATTTTGTTTCTGGTGTCCTTTGACAGCTCTTTGGTCTTGGCCATGGTGGAGTTTGGAGTGTGACTGTTTGAGGTTGTGGACAGGTGTCTTTTATACTGATAACAAGTTCAAACAGGTGCCATTAATACAGGTAACGAGTGGAGGACATAGGAGCCTCTTAAAGAAGAAGTTACAGGTCTGTGAGAGCCAGAAATCTTGCTTGTTTGTAGGTGACCAAATACTTATTTTCCACCATAATTTGCAAATAAATTCATTACAAATCCTACAATGTGATTTTCTGGATTTTTTTTTCTCAATTTGTCTGTCATAGTTGACGTGTACCTATGATGAAAATTACAGGCCTCTCTCATCTTTTTAAGTGGGATAACTTTTTTCCCCCACTGTACACTTAGGTTGGAGTTATTAAAACTCATTTTTCAACCACTCCACAAATTTCTTGTTAACAAACTATAGTTTTGGCAAGTCGGTTAGGACATCTACTTTGTGCATGACACAAGTAAATTTTCCAAAAATTGTTTACAGACAGATTATTTCACTTATAATTCACTGTATCACAATTCCAGTGGGTCAGAAGTTTACATACACTAAGTTGACTGTGCCTTTGAACAGCTTGGAAAATTCCAGAAAATGATGTCATGGCTTTAGAAGCTTCTGATAAGCTAATTGACATCATTTGAGTCAATTGGAGGTGTACCTGTGGATGTATTTCAAGGCCTACGTTCAAACTCAGTGCCTCTTTGCTTGACATCATGGGAAAATCAAAAGAAATCAGCCAAGACCTCAGAAAAAAATTGTAGACCTCCACAAGTCCGGTTCATCCTTAGGAGCAATTTCCAAACGCCTGAAGGTACCACGTTCATCTGTACAAACAATAGTACACAAGTATAAACACCTTGGGACCACGCAGCCGTCATACCACTCAGGAAGGAGACGTGTTCTGTCTCCTAGAGATGAACGTACTTTGGTGCGAAAAGTGCAAATCAATCCCAGAACAGCAAAGGACCTTGAGAAGATGCTGGAGGAAACAGGTACAAAAGCATCTATAGCCACAGTAAAACGAGTGCTATATCGACATAACCTGAAAGGCCGCTCAGCAAGGAAGAAGCCAATGCTCCAAAAACGCCATAAAAAAGCCAGACTATGGTTTGCAACTGCACATGGGCACAAAGATTGTACTTTTTGGAGAAATGTCCTCTGGTCTGATTAAACAAAAATAGAACTGTTTGGCCATAATGACCATTGTTATGTTTGGAGGAAAAAGGGGAAGGCTTGCAAGCCGAAGATCACCATCCCAACCGTGAAACACGGGGGTGGCAGCATCATGCTGTGGGTGTGCTTTCCTGCAGGATGGACTGGTGCACTTCACAAAATAGATGGCATCATGAAGAAGGAAAATTATGTGGATATATTGAAGCAACATCTCAAGACATCAGTCAGGAAGTTAAAGCTTGGTCGCAAATGGGTCTTCCAAATGGACAATGACCCCAAGCATCCTTCCAAAGTTTGGCAAAATGGCTTAAGGACAACAAAGTCAAGGTATTGGAGTGGCCATCACACAGCCCTGACCTCAATCCTATAGAACATTTGTGAGCAGAACTGAAAAAGCGTGTGCGAGCAAGGAGGCCTACAAACCTGACTCAGTTACACCTGCTCTGTCAGGAGGAATGGGCCAAAATTCACCCAACTTATTGTGGGAAGCTTGTGGAAGGCTACCCGAAACGTTTGACCCAAGTTAAACAATTTAAAGGCAATGCTACCAAATGCTAATTGAGTGTATGTAAACTTCTGACCCACTGGGAATGTGATGAAATAAATAAAATCTGAAATAAATCATTCTCTCTACTATTATTCTGACATTTCACATTCATAAAATAAAGTGGTGATCCTAACTGACCTAAGACAGGGCATTTTTACTAGGATTAAATGTCAGGAATTGTGAAAAACTGAGTTTAAATGTATTTGGCTAAGGTGTATGTGAACTTCCGACTTCAACTGTATTTGGCTAAGGTGTATGTAAACTTCCAACTTCAACTGTATGCGGCTTGTATGTGTGGAGGCCTGGAGATGTTAAACTGTTCATGTTAATTAACGGTCAATTACCGTGAGACCTCCCGTGTTTTGCATGACAATAACCAGCTGACAAAATTGACCGCCACACTCGAACTCGGGACACAATTTTCACTTTGGCCCTCCTTCTGCACTGGTAGGAGAGAGAGAGTGGGAGGGTGAGGAGAGAGAGAGGAGGAGAGAGGGAGATGGAGAGAGATAGAGGGGGAGTGACAGGGGGAGGGAGAGATGAATGAATGTGGTAGTGGTGTCGATTGCGCCTGTCCTCTCTTAATGATGCTTAGGAATTTTCCCCTCAGATCAATCACACACACACCTCCCTCCTCTCCCTTTCTATATCTCTCCTCCTCCCTTCCTCTCTCCTTCCCTCCCTCCCTCCCTCCCTCTCTGTAGGGTATATTCCCCCTCTATTCTCCTTGGCGCATTGCTGCAGTCAGCAGCGCCACCGTGACACACACATGCACACTCACGCGCGCACACACACACACACACACCTCTCTAGCCTTAAAAGGGTATCCCAGTTTGGCTGTAGTGAAACAATGAGCAAAGAGGTAATAGTACTGTTGTAATGTTAATAGTAGTACTGTTGTAATGTTAATAGTAGTACTGTTGTAATGTTAATACTAGTACTGTTTTAATGTTAATAGTAGGACTGTTGTAATGATAATAGTAGCACTGTTGTAATGATAATAGTTGTACTGTTGTAATGTTAATAGCAGTACTGTTGTAATATTAATAGCAGTACTGTTGTAATGATAATAGTAGTGCTGTTGTAATGATAATAGTAGTACTGTTGTAATGTTAATAGTAGTACTGTTGTAATGTTAATAGTAGTACTGTTGTAATGATAATAGTAGTACTGTTGTAATGTTAATAGTAGTACTGTTGTAATGTTAATAGTAGTACTGTTGTAATGTTAATAGCAGTACTGTTGTAATATTAATAGCAGTACTGTTGTAATGATAATAGTAGTACTGTTGTAATGATAATAGTAGTACTGTTGTAATGTTAATAGTAGTACTGTTGTAATGTTAATAGTAGTACTGTTGTAATGTTAATAGTAGTACTGTTGTAATGTTAATAGTAGTACTGTTGTAATGTTAATAGTAGTACTGTTGTAATGATAATAGTTGTACTGTTGTAATGTTAATAGTTGTACTGTTGTAATGATAATAGTTGTACTGTTGTAATGTTAATAGTAGTACTGTTGTAATGTTAATAGTAGTACTGTTGTAATGTATAATAGTAGTACTGTTGTAATGTTAATAGTAGTACTGTTGTAATGTTAATAGTAGTACTGTTGTAATGATAATAGTGTACTGTTGTAATGTTAATAGTAGTACTGTTGTAATGTTAATAGTAGTACTGTTTATGTAATAGTAGTCTGTTGTAATGATAATAGTAGTACTGTTGTAATGATAATAGTAGTACTGTTGTAATGTTAATAGTAGTACTGTTGTAATGTTAATAGTAGTACTGTTGTAATGTTAATAGTAGTACTGTTGTAATGTTAATAGTAGTACTGTTGTAATGTTAATAGTAGTACTGTTGTAATGATAATAGTAGTACTGTTGTAATGATAATAGTAGTACTGTTGTAATGATAATAGTAGTACTGTTGTAATGTTAATTAGTACGTTGTAATGTATGTAGACTGTGTATGAATAGTAGTACTGTTGTAATGATAATAGTGTACTGTTGTAATGTTAATAGTAGTACTGTTGTAATGATAATAGTTGTACTGTTGTAATGTTAATAGTAGTACTGTTGTAATGATAATAGTAGTACTGTTGTAATGTTAATAGTAGTACTGTTGTAATGTTAATAGTAGTACTGTTGTAATGATAATAGTAGTACTGTTGTAATGATAATAGTTATACTGTTGTAATGTTAATAGTAGTACTGTTGTAATGATAATAGTAGTACTGTTGTAATGATAATAGTTGTACTGTTGTAATGATAATAGTAGTGCTGTTGTAATGATAATAGTAGTACTGTTGTAATGTTAATAGTAGTGCTGTTGTAATACTTCTCCTCTTGTTGTCCAACCAAGATACAACCACTTGGACAGAGTTGTATTATGCTACTGTATGTTCTACTCCGGTAAAGCTGCAATATGCTCAGTTCTAGTGTGTGTGTGTGTGTGTGTGTGTGTGTGTGTGTGTGTGTGTGTGTGTGTGTGTGTGTGTGTGAGTATAGAGTATCTTTGCCCAGTTCCAGTTCAGCAGTGAGCGTGTGTTACCGTCGGACGTGTTGCGGAGCGCGCTAGCCAAGACCTTCCAGGACGAACAGCGCTTCCAGCTGGGGATCATGGACGACGCAGCCGAATGCTTCGTAAGCCTAACACCCACACACACACACGCACTGACACACAGGCACAGTCTTTCACTCCAGTCCTGCTCTAACACACCTGATTGTAATTAATAAGCTGAATTAGGTGTGTTAGTGCAGGGCTGGAACTAAATCCTGCAAGAGGAGGGTTGTCTAACTAACTCCAGTCTGCCATTTAGCTAAGAACACTGTCCCTCTCTATAGGACTATCGGGACATACAGGACGTATCTGTGTTTATCACAATGTGAAAGTGTTTGTTCCTTTTAGTGTGAAAGTGTTTGTTCCTCCCAGTGTGTAAGTGTTTGTTCCTCCCAGTGTGTAAGTGTTTGTTCCTCCCAGTGTGTAAACATTGATACAGATAATTGCTTTTAAGCTAATAAGAGATGGCGTGATCAGTCAACGGACAGAGGAGGAGAGAGGAGGAGGGGAGAGGAGGAGGGGAAAGGAGGAGGAGGAGGAAGATGGGAGAGGAGGAGGAGGAGGAAGAGCGGAGAGGAGGAGGGGAGAGGCGGAGAGGAGGAGGGGAGAGGCGGAGAGGAGGAGGGGAGAGGAGATGGAGGAGGGGAGAGGAAGAGGGGAGAGGAGGAGGAGGGGGAGGAGGAGGAAGAGTTAGGGGAGGGTGGCAGGGGAGGGGTGGGGAGGAGAGTGAAAACAGGGAAAGGGACGGAGGATAGAGAGAGGGAGAAAGAGGGTGGTGGGGGGGTTTGGGACAGAGCGATAGAGGCTATTTTTCCCTCTCCTACACAGCAGAGTTAGATCCTCTACTCACCTCCACTGTGTGTGTGTGTGTGTGTGTGCACCTGGATAGGTGTGTGTCAGGGATGTACTAGCTGATCGATTGGTAGTAACTGAGTTTAGTCAGGACATCCAGCAGGTCTTAGGAAATATAGATGCTGCATCCACAATCACATTAACTAGAGCACACCCACACACACACACACACACACACACACACACACACACACACACACACACACACTCACACTCACACTCACACTCACACACACACACACACTCACACACACACACACACACACACACACACACACACACACACACACACACACACACTCACACACACACACACACACACACAATCTGTGTAACCCTGTATAACCAACAAGATCTCACGGTTTGACTTCAGTATTCAACGTTTGTCCAGGAGTGGATAAACGTCACATTTTGACGGTTAAGTTTAGGCAATAATTCCGAATGGTTCAGGTAAGGGTTAAGGTTTAGGATAAGGCACTGGGATTGAACACGCGGCCTTCGGAGACGGAGCTCGCAGCTTACGTCCATCCGGCCATTCCCATCCACAACGCCCTAGCAAACTGCAAGCCTACTTGATTGTAATGGTGCTCACCATTGTCCCTAGAGGCCGGTTTTGAAGGCATCTCTCGACGTCCTGGGACCTGGACAGACATTGAATATCGCCTTGGATCTCGACTGACTTGGCTGTGTGTGTGTGTGTGTGGGTTACAGGAGAACCTGCTGATGCGTATCCATTTCCACATCAGCGGCGAGACCAGAGAGGACATCTGTACAGCTGAACACTGTATACCACACCAGAAGTTCGCCATGACGCTGTTCGAACAGGTGGGACATACAGTGCATTCGGAAAGTATTCAGACCCCTTCGGTTTTCCCACATTTTGTTACGTTACAGCCTAATTCTAAAATGGATTAAATTATTTATTTTTTCTCATCAATCTATACACAATACCCCATAATGACGAAGCGAAAACAGGTTTAAACATTTTAGCAAATGTATAAAAAAGAAAAAAAAATGGAAATACCTTATTTACATAAGTATTCAGACCCTTTGCAATGAGACTCAGGTGCATCCTGTTTCCATTGATCATCCTTGAGATGTTTTTACAACGTTTTTTATTTGTTATTTTTCTAACTTTTTGTTAGGGGGTAGATCAGCTTTAATATTGCAGATAGATTGTAACTTCCATCAATGTAATTGTCTGCATCACTTCCAATTCCCCATATGTTTTTTCCCCCGCAAAATATATATATATATATTATATATATATATATATATATATAACTATATATATACAGTGAAGTTGGAAGTTTACATACACCTTAGCTAAATACATTTAAACTCAGTTTTTCACAATTCCTGACATTTAATCCTAGTAAAATTCCCTTCTTAGGTCAGTTAGGATCACCACTTTATTTTAAGAATGTGAAATGTCAGAATAATAGTAGAGAGAATGACATATTTCAGCTTTTATTTATTTCATCACATTCCCAGTGGGTCAGAAGTTTACATACACTCAATTAATATTTGGTAGCATTGCCTTTAAATTGTTTAACTTGGGTCAAACGTTTCGGGTAGCCTTCCACAAGCTTCCCACAATAAGTTGGGTGAATTTTGGCCCATTCCTCCTGACAGAGCAGGTGTAACTGAGTCAGGTTTGTAGGCCTCCTTGCTCGCACACGCTTTTTCAGTTCTGCCAACAAATTTTCTATAGGATTGAGGTCAGGGCTTTGTGATGGCCACTCCAATACCTTGACTTTGTTGTCCTTAAGCCATTTTGCCACAACCTTGGAAGGATGCTTGGGTCATTGTCCATTTGGAAGACCCATTTGCGACCAAGCTTTAACTTCCTGACTGATGTCTTGAGATGTTTCTTCAATATATCCACATAATTTTCCAACCGTGAAGTGCACCAGTCCATGCTGCAGCAAAGCACCCCCACAGCATGATGCTGCCCCCCCGTGCTTCACGGTTGGGATGGTGATCTTCGGCTTGCAAGCCTTCCCCTTTTTCCTCCAAACATAACAATGGTCATTATGGCCAAACAGTTCTATTTTTGTTTCATCATGATTTGCACTTTTAGCACCAAAGTACGTTAATCTCTAGGAGACAGAACACGTCTTCTTCCTGAGCGGTATGACGGCTGCGTGGTCCCATGGTGTTTATACTTGCGTACTATTGTTTGTACAGATGAACGTGGTACCTTCAGGCATTTGGTAATTGCTCCCAAGGATGAACCGGTCTTGTGGAGGTCTACAATTGTTTTTCTGAAGTCTTGGCTGATTTCTTTTGATTTTCCCATGATGTCAAGCAAAGAGTCACTGAGTTTGAAGGTAGGCCTTGAAATACATCCACAGGTACACCTCCAATTGACTCAAATTATATCAATTAGCCTATCAGAAGCTTCTAAAACCATGACATCATTTTCTGGAATTTTCCAAGCTGTTTAAAGGCACAGTCAACTTAGTGTATGTAAACTTCTGACCCACTGGAATTGTGATACAGTGAATTATAAGTGAAATAATCTGTCTGTAAACAATTGTTGGAAAATGTACTTGTGTCATGCACAAAGTAGATATCCTAACCGACTTGCCAAAACTATAGTTTGTTAACAAGAAATTTGTGGAGTGGTTGAAAAACGAGTTTTAATGACTCCAACCTAAGTGTATGTAAACTTCCGACTTCAACTGTATATACACTACCGTTCAAAAGTTTGGGGCCAATTAGAAATGTCCTTATTTTTTAAAGAAAAGCACTTTTTTTGTCTATTAAAATATCATCAAATTTATCAGAAATACAGTGTAGACATTGTTAATGTTGTAAATGGCTATTGTAGCTGGAAACGGCTGATTTGTAATGGAATATCTATATAGGCGTACAGAGGCCCATTATCAGCAACCATCAGTCCTGTGTTCCAATGGCACGTTGTGTTTGTTAATCCAAGTTTATCATTTTAAAAGGCTAATTGATCATTAGAAAACCCTTTTGCAATTATGTTAGCACAGCTGAAAACTGTTGTGCTGGTTAAAGAAGCAATAAAACTGGCCTTCTTGAGACTAGTTGAGTATCTGGAGCATCAGCAATTGTGGGTTCGATTACAGGATCAAAATGGCCAGAAACAAACTTTCTTCTGAAACTCGTCAGTCTATTCTTGTTCTGAGAAATTAAGGCTATTCCATGCGAAAAATTGCCAAGAAACTGAAGATCTCGTACAACGCTGTGTACTACTCCCTTCACAGAACACCGCAAACTGGCTCTAACCAGAATAGAAAGAAGAGTGGGAAGCCCCGGTGCACAACTGAGCAAGATGACAAATACATTAGAGTGTCTAGATTGAGAAACAGATGCCTCACAGGTCCTCAACTGGCAGCTTCATTAAATAGTACCCGCAAAACACCAGTCTCAACGTCAACAGTGAAGAGGCGACTCCGGGATGCTGACCTTCTAGGCAGAGTTGCAAAGAAAAAGCCATATCTCAGACTGGCCAATAAAAAGAAAATATTAAGATGGGCAAAAGAACACAGACACTGGACTGAGGAAGATTGGAAAAGGTGTTATGGATAGACGAATCGAAGTTTGAGGTGTTCGGATCACAAAGAAGAACATTTGTGAGATGCAGACCAAATGAAAAGATGCTGGAGGAGTGCTTGATGCCATCTGTCAAGCATGTTGGAGGAAATGTCATAGTCTGGGGATGCTTTGGTGGTGGTAAAGTGGGAGATTTGTGCAGGGTAAAAGGGATCTTGAAGAAGGAAGGTTATCACTCCATTTTGCAACGTGTGCCATATCCTGTGGATGGCGCTTGATTGGAGCCAATTTCCTCCTGCAACAGGACAATGACCTAAGGCACAGCTCCAAACTATGCAACAACTATTTAGGGAAGAAGCAGTAAGATGGTATTCTGTCTATAATGGAGTGGCCAGCACAGTCACTGGATCTCAACCCTATTGACCTTTTGTGGGAGCAGCTTGACCGTATGGTACGTAAGAAGTGCCCATCAAGCCAATCCAAATTGTGGGAGGTGCTTCAGGAAGCATGGGGTGAAATCTCTTCAGATTACCTCAACAAATTGACAAGTAGAATGCCAAAGGTCTGCAAGGCTGTAATTGCTGAAAATTGAGGATTATTTGACGAAAGCAAAGTTTGAAGGACACAATTATTATTTCAATTAAAAATCATTATTTCTGACCTTGTCAATGACAAAATTTACTATGCATTTGGTATATTTCCTATTCAAACTCATTTCATGTATGTTTTCATGGAAAACAAGGACATTTCTAAGTGACCCCAAACATTTGAATGGTAGTGTATATACATATACATACATACATACATACATACATACATACACATACATATACACCTACATATAAATACATATACATATACAGCTCTGAAAAAAATTAAGAGACCACTGCAAATGTTTCTTAAATCAGCATCTCTACATGTATGACAGCCATTCCATTCCAGTGTCTGTTGAATTCCAACAAAGGCACACCTCATTCTACTGAATTAGGTACTGATTAGGTGATCACCTGAACCAAATCTTGTTTAACGAGGAAAAGTATAAAAACCACTGCTGTGGTCATCACTATCCTCTTGCAATAGGACCAGCTGGATGGCAAAAACAGTGCTAATAGTACCTCAAAAGTAATATTTATCAAAAAAATTACAATTGACCATGCCAAAAGAGTTGAAAAGGAACGTTTTTAGTGAGGAAAAGAAGTGTTCAATTCTGGCTTTACTGGCAGAAGGATACAGTGAGCGTCAGGTTGCTTCCATCCTTAACATTTCAATGACGGCGGTTCATAAGAACAAGTTCAAGCAGCAGACATTGGGGACAACAAAGCTACAGACCGGCAGAGGGCGAAAACGACTCTCTACTGACCAGGATGACCGCCAACTCATTCGAATGTCACTCAACAACCGTAGGATGACATCAAGTGACCTACAAAAAGAATGGCAAACGGCAGCTGGGGTGAAGTGCATGGCGAGGACGGTTCGAAACAGGCTCCTAGGGGCAGGGCTGAAGTCGTGCAAAGCTAGAAAAAAGCCCTTCATCAATGAGAAGCAAAGAAGAGCCAGGCTGAGGTTTGCAAAAGACCATAAGGATTGGACCGTAGAGGACTGGAGTAAGGTAATCTTCTCTGATGAGTTCAATTTTCAGCTTTGCCCAACACCTGGTCGTCTAATGGTTAGACGGAGACCTGGAGAGGCCTACAAGCCACAGTGTCTCGCACCCACTGTGAAATTTGGTGGAGGATCGGTGATGATCTGGGGGTTCTTCAGCAAGGCTGGAATCGGGCAGATTTGTATTTGTGAAGGACGCATGAATCAAGCCGTGTACAAGGTTGTCCTGGAAGAAAACTTGCTTCCTTTTGCTCTGACATTGTTCCCCAACTCTGAGGATTGGTTTTTCCAGCAGGACAATGCGCCATGCCACACAGCCAGGTCAATCAAGGTGTGGATGGAGGACCACCAGATCAAGACCCTGTCATGGCCAGCCCAATCTCCAGACCTGAACCCCATTGGAAACTTCTGGAATGTGATCAAGAGGAAGATGGATGGACACAAGCCATCAAACAAAGCCGAGCTGCTTGAATTTTTGCGCCAGGAGTGGCATAAAGTCACCCAACATCAATGTGAAAGACTGGTGGAGAGCATGCCAAGACGCATGAAAGCTGTGATTGAAAATCTGGGTTATTCCACCAAATATTGATTTCTGAACTCTTCCTAAGTTAAAACATTAGTATTGTGTTGTTTAAAAATGAACATGAATTTATTTTCTTTGCATTATTCGAGGTCTGACAACACTGCATATTTTTTGTTATTTTGACCAGTTTCTGCAGTTTCTGCAAATAAATGCTCTAAATGACAATATTTTGGGGGGGGAATTTGGGAGAAATGTTGTCAGTAGTTTATAGAATAAAACAAAAATGTTCTTTTTACCCAAACACATACCTATAAATAGTAAAACCAGCGAAACTGATAATTTTGCAGTGGTCTCTTAATTTTTTCCAGAGCTGTATATACATATCCTTTTTTAAAATATATTTCCCTTTAATACTTTCCAACCCCACCACCCCTCCTCTAATTGGAGTAAACTAGTGAACAACAACACTTAGGCCTCTACTTCCAGCTATATACCATATTTTTCTAACTGTGCTCTTTCACAAAAGCTCCCAACCTATAATCTACATTCTTATTATGGACACAGTATGCTTTACATTAGTTATCTTGTTGTTATTAGTTGTTAGTTGTTATTAGTCCCATCCTTCAGCTCCATTCAACACCTCCCATCTATCTCTTAACACCATCCATATTGGACTTCTATTTGCCATATATTTTTCAACTTTCTACACAGCAAAATCTGCCGAGCTGGGAAGATTGTATCCCCCATATAAATAACATTCTATTGGTAGCAAGAATGTTGTATAATAATTTAAATTGAACAATTTTATGTTTTGAATCCGGCGTCGTTTTGCGTATCAGTTCATAAACACTATGCCATGGAATCGGTACGTCAAAAGTCTCTTCCCAACTATTTTGCCATCTATATGGGACGGCTGTCAATCCTTTGGTCCTTAAATTAAACTGGTATACCTTTTTATTTATCACAATTTTCTTTAACCAATTATGGTCTTTAATGCAGGGCCGACAGACAAGTTCCTTACTTTTTCCCCCTTCCACTTTCCTCTTCCATTTTTGCGGTAATGCTGCAATTATCTGGTTGTAATTTTGGGTAGAGCAGACATTTCCATATGTTTTTGTTAGCTGCATGTGCGACATAACTCCACCAGTCCTACCGATGATATCATTTACGAAGATTATACCTTTTTTAAACATTTTTTCAGAAAATAATGTTTTTTTGATCAATTAGTATATTTGAGTTTAACCACAATATTTGTTGCATTATTTGTTCTGTCTTTTCTGGAGGATTAAATTGAAATTGTAACCAACTTTCTATGGCTTGTTTTAGAAATAGTGATATTTGGGAGATGATTTCCTTTTCAAATAACTGAAAGTGAGAGGTTGTAATCTGAATAAAGGGAAAAAGGCCATTCTTGAACATGGGGTGAGACAATCTTACTAATTTGCTAGAGAACCAGTTCGGATTTAAGTATAACTTTTGTATGACTGAAGCTTTTAGTGATAGGTATAATGCTTTAATATTTAATAATTTCTGTCCTCCGAATTCATATTTATTATATGAATAGGCCCGTTTAAATTTTGTCTGTCTTGCCGTTCCAAATAAAATTGAATATTTCTTTCTCATATAATTTTAAAAACTGTTCGCTAGGCATAGGCAACACCATAAGCAAATAGGTAAACTGGGATAATACTAAATAGTTAATCAGGGTGATTTTTACACAAATAGACAGGTATTTACCTTTCCATGGTAGCAATATCTTATCTATTTTTGCTAACTTTCTATTAAAATGTATTGGAGTGAGATCATTTATTTCATTTGGGATATATATTCCAAGTATATCTACATCACCATCAGACCATTTTATTGGTAAACTACATGGTAATATAAAAATTGAATTTTTTAGTGATCCAATACGTAATATATAGTACATTTATCATAATTTGGTTGTAATCCAGAGAGGTTAGAAAATGTATCTAGATCCTCTATGAGGCTGTGGATGGATTCAAGTTGTGGATTTAAAAGAAAACATGAATCATCAGCGTACAATGACACCTTTGTTTTCAAGCCCTGGATTTCTATTTCCTTGATATTATTGTTGGATCTGATTTTAATAGCTAACATTTCGATGGCCATAATAAATAGATATGCCGATAGTGGACAACATTGTTTTACTCCTCTTGACAGTTTAAAACTTACGGAGAAATAGCCATTATTTACTATTTTACACCTAGGGTTACTATACATGATTTTAACCCATTTTATAAGAGATTCTCCAAAATTGAAATGCTCCAGGCATTTCAACTTGACTGGAGTCCACCTATGGTAAATTCAATTGATTGGACATTATTTGGAAAGGCACACACCTGTCTATTAAAGTCCCACAGTTGACAGTGCACGTCAGTTCAAAAACCAAGCTATGAGGTCGAAGGAATTGTCCGTGGAGCTCCGAGACAGGATTGTGTCGAGGCACAGATCTGGGGAAGGGTACCAAAACATTTCTGCAGCATTGAAGGTTCCCAAGAACACAGTGGCCTCCATCATTCTTAAATGATCTTCCAGTTTTGGAACCACCTAGACTCTTCCTAGAGCTAGCCGCCCAGCCAAACTGAGCGATTGGGGTCAAGAACCCTATGGTCACTCTGACAGAGCTCCAGAGTTCCTCTGTGGAGATGGAAGAACCTTACAGAAGGACAACCATATTTTTCAGCACTCCACCAATCAGGCCTTTATGGTGGAGTGGCCAGACGGAAGCCACTCCTCAGTAAAAGGCACATGACAGCCCGCTTGGAGTTTGCCAAAAGGCACCTAAAGGACTATGAAAACAAGATTCTCTGGTCTGATGAAACCAATATTGCACTCTTTGGCCTGAATGCTTGTACCAAGAAACCTTGTACCATCCCCATGGTGAAGCATGGTGGTGGCAGCATCATGCTGTGGGGATGTTTTTCTGCGGCAGGGACTGGGAGACTAGTCAGAATCGAGGGAAAGATGAACGGAGCAAAGTACAGAGAGATCCTTGATGAAAATCTGCTCCAGAGTGCACAGGACCTCAGACTGGGGCTAAGGTTCACCTTCCAACAGGACAACGACCCTAAGCACACTGCCAAGACAATGCAGGAGTGGCTTCGGGACAAGTCTCTGAATGTCCTTGCATGGCCCAGCCAGAGCCCGGACTTGAACCCGATCAAACATCTCTGGAGAGACCTGAAAATAGCTGTGCAGCGACGCTCCCCATACAACCTGAGCGCTTGAGAGGATCTGCAGAGAAGAATGGGAGAAACTCCCCAAATACAGGTGTGCCAAGTTTGTAGTGTCATACCCAAGAAGACTCGAGGCTTTAATCGCTGCCAAAGGTTCTTCAACAAAGTACTGAGTAAAGGGTCTGAATACTTATGTAAATGTGATATGTCATTTCTTTAAATAATTTTTTATTAGTAAACATTTCTATAAACCTGGTTTTGCTTTGTCATTTTGCTTTTTGTATAGAGGAAGGCACAAAAAATTGTAAAAGACTCCAGTCACCCAAGTCATAGACTGTTCTCTCCGCTCTTCCCTCAAGCCATAAGACGCTGAACAATTCATCAAATGGCCACCTGGACTATTTACAGCAGTGTACATTTGTTTTTACACTGCTGCTACTCGCTGTTTATTATCTATGCATAGTCACTTTACCCCTACCTACATGTACAACTTACCTTGACTAACCTGTACCCCCGCACATTGACTCGGTACCGGTACCCCCTGTATATAGCCTTGTTATTGTTATTTTATTGTGTTACTTTTTGATAGCATTTTTTTTACTTTAGTTTATTTAGTAAATCTTTTCTTAAGTCTATTTCTTAAACTGCATTTTTGGTTAAGGACGGTTAAGTAAGCATTTCACGGTAAGGTCTACACCTGTTGTATTCGGCGAATATCACAAATACAGTTTGATTTGATGAGGGGGGGAAAACAATTTCATCAATTTTACAATAAGGCTGTAACGTAACAAAATGTGGAAAAAGTCAAGAGGTCTGAATACTTTCCGTAGCCACTGTACATATACTAAACCACTTCATTAGCACATTCATAGGGATATTCTATTAACAATTAATGGATTCAATTAATTAAATCATTAGTTCATTAAACAATTAATTAGTGGAATTAATGGTTCAATAAAGTGTTGGGCAGAAGAGACAACCAGCAGACGCTGAGGCCCCTAAAGACTGGGGCTACACATCAGATGTGTTACTGCACCCCCACCGGGCCTTAGTGGATAAGAGGACGTCTTAGTGGATAAGAGGACGTCTTAGTGGATAAGAGGACGTCTTCGTGGATAGGAGGAAGACTTAGTGGATAAGAGGATGTCTTAGTGGATAAGAGGACGTCTTAGTGGATAAGAGGACGTCTTTCTGATGTATTTTGTGTTTGTCAGTGTGTGTGCAGTAGCTGTGGAGCCACGTCGGACCCCCTTCCCTTCATTCAGATGGTTCACTACATCTCTACCACGTCCCTCTGGTAAGACCAGGCACGTCTGTGTGTGTGTAGTGTGTGTTCTTGAGGAAACATGTATATGTCTAGTAAGTGTGAATATGTGTGTGTGTACTACAATGTACAATAAAGGATCTATAGTATCTATAAAGTATCTATAGTCCAGTGTGTGTTCTTGAGGACGTGTGTGTATAGTTCAGTGTGTGTTCTTGAGGACGTGTGTGTATGTGTGTGTGTATAGTCCAGTGTGTGTTCTTGAGGACGTGTGTGTGTGTGTATAGTCCAGTGTGTGTTCTTGAGGACGTGTGTGTATAGTTCAGTGTGTGTTCTTGAGGACGTGGGTGTATGTGTGTGTGTATAGTCCAGTGTGTGTTCTTGAGGACGTGTGTGTGTATAGTCCAGTGTGTGTTCTTGAGGACGTGTGTATATGTGTGTGTCCTTGCTGCAGTAACCAGGCAGTGAGGATGTTAGAGTGCAGAGAGAAGCCCACCCCCGACATGTTCGGAGAGCTGCTCCACAACGCCAGCAATATGGGAGACTTACGCAACTGCCCAGTGAGTTTGTACAGGCACACACACGCAAAAACACACACATACGCACGCGCACGCACGCGCACACACGCAAACACACATGCGCATGAACACATGCAAACAAATACACTCACGCACTGATGAACACACATTGACAGCTCTTTATACTGTGCTTGCGTGCAGGTGTGTGTGTGTTTGTGTTTGTGTGTGTTTGTGTGTTTGTGTGTGTGTGTGTGTGTGTGTGTGTGTTTGTTTGTATGTAGTGTTGTTAGTGTTGTGATGCTGCCACATGGTAAAGAGCTGTTGGTGTGAGGCGGTGAATAGATCCAGGGCTGATCCACACACCCAGCCCTCTCTGCCAGAGTACCCACACAATGGGCCTCTTCTCTGGGCAGAGCCTGGCAGCTGACCCCCTCTACAGCCCCCCAGCCCTCCAGCCCCCCAGCCTCCCTGTTAGTCACACCACCATTATCTTGTTATTGTGAGGCTGAGAGGATCCCTTCACTCTACGCTTCTACAATACTGCCTGTGATAGCTTTGGCCCTAAGCTACTGTATGTCCCTTGGGCTAACTGAGTGTTTATCCCATAAACCCACACTCTGCTCCCGGTCCCATACACAGTGTGTGTCAATAAGATGAATGGTGTTTGTTGCTATGAGAGTGTGTGTTTCCCTTCTCAGAACCAGGTCGTCCTGGCATAATCCCTTCCTGTTAGTACCAGTGCCAGCCCGGATTTACCCCCTGCCCACAAGGGTAGTGTGTGTGTGTTTGTGTGTTTGTCTTTGTGTGTGTGTTCTGGCACTCTCTGGTTGCCAGGGTGTTTGTGTGTGTGTGTGTGTGTGTGTGTGTGTTTGTGTGAGTGTGTGTTCTGCCAGCTCTGTGGTGGGTCGTGAGTCAGAGGAAGGGTCTAGAACACACGGTTCTCAACACAACAGAACAGAAGCCTACTGGATAACCCCCCCCAACCCCCCCCTCCTCTCTCTCTCTCTCTCTCTCTCGCTCTCTCTCTCTCTCTCTCTCTCTCTCTCTCTCTCTCTCTCTCTCTTTCTCTCTCTCCCTTTCTCTCTCTCTCTCTCTCTCGCTCTCTCTCTCGCTCTCTCAATTTTCAATTCAATTTAAGGGACTTTATTGGCATGGGAAACAAATGTTTACATTGTCAAAGCAAGTGAAATAGATAACAAACAAAAGTGAAATAAACCATCAAAACATTACACTCACAAGTTTCAAATGAATAGACACATTTCAAATGTCATATTATGGCTATGTACAGTGTTATAATGATGTGCAAATAGTTAAAGTACAAAAGGGAAAATAAATAAACATAAATATGGGTTGTATTTACAATGGTGTTTGTTCTTCACTGGTTGCCCTTTTCTTGTGGCAACAGGTCACATATCTTGCTGCTGTGATGGCACACTGTGGTATTTCACCCAATAGATATGGATTTGTTTTGGAATTCTTTCTGGGCCTGTGTAATCTGAGGGAAATATGTGTCTCTAATATGGTCATACATTTGGCAGGAGGTTAGGAAATGCAGCTCAGTTTCCACCTCATTTTGTGGGCAGTGTGCACATAGCCTGTCTTCTCTTGAGAGCCAGGTCTGCCTACGGCGTCCTCTCTCAATAGCAAGGCCATGCTCAATGAGTCTGTACATAGTCAAAGCTTTCCTTAATACTCTCTATTTAGGACCAAATAGCATTCCAGTTTGCTTTGTTTTTTGGTAAATTCTTTCCAATGTGTCAAGAAATAATCTTTTTGTTTTCTCATGATTTGGTTGAGTCTAATTGTGTTGCTGTCCTGGGGCTCTGTGGGGTCTGTTTGTGTTTGTGAACAGAGCCCCAGGACCAGCTTGCTTAGGGGACTCTTCTCCAGGTTAATCTCTCTGTAGGTGATGGCTTTGTTATGGAAGCTTTGGGAAACGCTTCCTTTTAGGTGGATTTGATGGCTCTTTTCTGGATTTTGATAATTAGCGGGTATCAGCCTAATTCTGCTCTACATGTATTATTTGGTGTTTTACGTTGTACACTGAGGATTTTTGCAGAATTCTGCATGCAGAGTCTCAATTTGGTGTTTGTCCCATTTTGTGAATTCTTGGTTGGTGAGCGGACCCCAGACCTTACAACCATAAAGGTTCTCTCTCTCTCTCTCTCTCTCTCTCTCTCTCTCTCTCTCTCTCTCTCCTCATCTCTCTCTCTCTCTCTCTCGCTGTCCTTCGTCTGTCTCTACATCTCTCTCTCTCTCCTCTCTCTCCTCTCTCTCTCTCTCTCTCGATTCCAAATCAGATTAATCAGATTCCTTTCAATAATCAATTGAAACAATTCTTCTTTTCTTTTAATATTTGTATTTGTTTCTGTTTTCCTCTCGTCCTGCAGAGTAACTGCGGGGAGGTGTTGCGTATCCGCCGTGTGTTGATGAACTCTCCAGAGATAGTGTCCATCGGCCTGGTCTGGGATTCAGACCACTCGGACCTGGCTGAGGACGTCATTCACAGCCTGGGCACCTGTCTACACCTGGGGGATGTAAGACACGTACACACACACACACACACACACACACACACACGTTTACCCATGTACGCACGCACACAGGTATGCAAACATGCACACATACACACACAGACTTACACACAATGATTAACCTTAGCCAAGGCTTTAGCTCAGTAGGCTAATGTGGTCTTGACTCGCTTAGATTTCCCCGACAACACGTCTCATACCTCTTCTCTCTTATCTCCTATTTATACCTCTATTACATCTGTTCTCGATTTCTTCTGGTTCTGTAGTCTTTTTGTGCTCTCGTCTGTATTCGTCTGCGTTCTCTTGGATCATCGATGTTGATCTGCGTTGGTTCTTGGATCATTGTGCTGGGATCCTGTGCGTACTATGTCTCTACTATCCTCTTATCCAGCTTCTGCTACTTCTCGTCTCTCTCCTCTTTCTCTCTCGCTCTCTGCTCTCTCTCTCTCTCCGTCTCTCTCTCTCTCTCTTCTCTCTCTCTCTCATCACTCTCTCTCTCCTCTCCTTCTTCCATCCTTCTCTCTCCCCTCTCTCTCACCTTCCTTCTCTCTCTCTCTCTCTCTCTCTCTCTCTCTCTCTCTCTCTCTCTCTCTCTCTCTCCCTCTGTCCTTCTCTCTCCATTCCCCCCTAGTTGTTTTACCGTGTGACAGAGGAGAGGGCTCGTCAGGCTGAGCTGTACCTGGTTGGTATGGTGTGCTATTATGGTAAACACTACTCCACATTCTTCTTCCAGACTAAGATACGCAAGTGGATGTACTTCGACGACGCTCATGTCAAAGAGGTGATTCAGTGACTGAGTGACTGGGTGAATTAGTTAGTTAGTTAGTTAGTTGATATGTGTGTTATCTAGAATCTAGCTGCATAGAGGATAGAATGAATGAATAGAATGAATATGATAAGTTATTGTCCATTTGGTTAGAATATAAATTAATCTTCCCATGATTAGCTATTTTGGGGGGGTTAAGTGCCTTGCTCAAAGGCATAACAGTAGATATGTTGGTTAGTAGAGTGTGTGTGTTATCTCTATAGATCGGTCCTAAGTGGAAGGACGTGGTTGCGCGGTGTATAAAGGGTCACTACCAGCCTCTATTGCTGCTTTATGCTGACCCCCGGGGGACGCCGGTGGTAACGCAGGACAACCCCCAGCTGGACCTGCTGCACTGCAGCAAGGCTGGATATGACAGCGAGGACTCTGGTAACCTTTAACCCCTAACCTCTGACTTCTAAACCCTGACCCTCGCCCCAAAACTCCCTAACCCTAAAGCTCTCTGCTTTTCTCTCTCTCTCTCTCTCTCTCTCTCTCTCTCTCTCTCTCTCTCTCTCTCTCTCTCTCTCTCTCTCTCTCTCTCTCTCTCAGGACGGGAGCCCTCCATATCCAGTGATACCCGTACAGATTCCTCGGACAGCTCCAGCCGCAGAGCATCTCTAAATCGCCCTCTCCACCAGTCAACAGGCAGTCACCTGTCCAGTGAATCGCAGACCGCCGTTGTCGGTAACCATGACAACAGCACACCACTACACAGTGCAGACCCAGCAGGTCATTAACATAATGTCTGTTACAACACCACCAGGTGATCAGGTGTGTTAGTGCTGGGCTAAAACAAAAGCCTGCACACGTTCTATAGTCCCCCAGGATCAGAATTGGAGAACCGTAAACACAACTATCTAACCAACTATCTAACCGCCCTCTCTCACTTTTTCTCTCTCTCTCTCTCTCTCTCTCTCTCTCTCTCTCTCTCTCTCTCTCTCTCTCTCTCTCTCACTCTCTATTCAATTTCAATTTAAGGGCTTTATTGGCATGGGAAACATATGTTTACATTGCCAAAGCAAGTGAAGTAGATAGTAAACAAAAGTTAAATAAATAATAAATATTAACAGTAAACATTACACTCAGAAGTTCCAAAAGAATAAAGACATTTCAAATGTCATATTATGTATATATACAGTGTTGTAACAATGTGCAAATAGTTAAAGTACAAATGGGAAAATAAATAAACATAAATATGGGTTGTATTTCTCTCTCTCTCTATCAGACTCAGTAGCAGAGACCCCCCGCTGCCCCCCCTCCCCTCCCCTGCAGCAGGGTGACTATAAAGAGACAGCTGTGTTCCTCCTCTCCTCTCCTCGTCCATTGTCATCTTCCTCTTCCTCCCATCCCCCCTCCTCCTGTTCCTCCCATCCCCTTTCCTCCTGTTCCTCCCATCCCCCTTCCTCTACCTGTTCCTCCCATCCCGTCTCCTCCTCCTACTCTTCCTCCTGTCCCATGTCCTCTTCCTCCTCCTCGGGGATAGGGGGGTCTGTGCTGGGATCTGAGACGGGGGCCGTGGGGCCACTCTGGGAGGATGAGAGCACTAGCAGTGAGTCCAAGTCTAGGTGAGTGCTGCTGTACATATACACACATACACTACATTACCAAATGTATGTGGACACCTGCTCGTCGAACATCTCATTCTAAAATCATGGGCATTAATATGGAGTTGGTCCCCCCTTGGCTTTCCACTAGATGTTGGAACATTGCTGCAGGGACTTGCTTCCATTCAGCTACAAGAGCATTAGTGAGGTCGGGCACTGATATTGGGCGATTAGGCCTGACTCGCTGTCGGCGTTCCAATTCATCCCAAAGGTGTTCGATGGGGTTGAGGTCAGGGCTCTGTGCAGGCCAGTCAAGTTCTTCCACACCGATCTCGACAAACCATCCTATGACGGTGCCATGTTGAAAGTCACTGAGCTCTTCAGTAAGGCCATTCTACTGCCAATGTTTGTCTATGGAGATTGCATGGCTGTGTGCTCGATTTTATACACCTTTCAGCAACAGGTGTGGCTGAAATAGCCGAATCCACTAATTTGAAGGGGTGTCCACATACTTTTGTATATATAGTGTGTATACTGACATATACTGACATATATACTAGTCCATGTGGGTGTTACTGTACAAAGTGCATGCACAGTAGAAGGCTTATGTAATACATTTTGGTAAAGTTTGAGTTCTCCGAAAAATTTTAACATTTTACAGTGTTACCAGCTACAGTATTTTGTAAAGTGTTTTGGCTCATGTGTAATGTAAAATGTAACCTATCCTCTCCAGTTCGTCTGGGGGTCGATGTTACCGGCCGGCCTGGAGGCCACGGAGGGAGGCCCTGAACATCGACAGCATCTTCACCCGCCAGAGAGGCTCTCCGCTGGGCTACAGCACCATGCCTGGGCTCCCTCTACCTTCAGCGCTCCAACATCACTGTCCAACCAACATGCCTGATTTGCAGGGGGCAGGAGAGAGGGCCGGGGGTTTAGGTGGCATGGGGGGAGACACGGAGGGGGTGGCAGGGATGCCTGGTTTGCTAGGCAACGGCACGGACTGCCCCCCTCCTCCTCCCCCGTTGAGAGGGGCGGAGCCTCAGCCTCGTCTGATCCAGAGGATGGAGAGTGGTTATGAGAGCAGCCCTGACAGGTACACACACCGACACACCAACACACCGACACACCAACACACCGTGGCATAGGTTTTGTAGTCTCACAGCGTTTCGTTCTCTCCCCCCCTCCCCCTCTCTCTCTCGCATTCTCTCTCTCACCCTCTCTCCCCCCCTCCCTCTCTCTCAGGGAGGTAGGTCAGAAGCGTGTGTTGATGACTGGTCCGTCGTGGCGCTCGGTGCCCAAGTCTAAGAGCACCAGTGCCATCCTGCAGGAGCTGCCAGCACCTTGCTGGGGTAGCAATAACAACCTGGGTGTGTGTGTGTGTGTGAGATATCTAATGGTGTCAGAGAGGTAGAGTGTGTGTGTGAGATATCTAATGGTGTCAGAGTGGTAGAGTGTGTGTGTGAGATATCTAATGGTGTCAGAGTGGTAGAGTGTGTGTGTGAGATATCTAATGGTGTCAGAGAGGTAGAGTGTGTGTGTGAGATATCTAATGGTGTCAGAGTGGTAGAGTGTGTGTGTGAGATATCTAATGGTGTCAGAGAGGTAGAGTGTGTGTGTGAGATATCTAATGGTGTCAGGTGGAGGTGTGTGTGTGGATATCTAAAGGTGTCGGGGTAGAGGGTGTGTGAGAAATTAAAGGGGGTAGAGTGGTTAGAGTTAGGTGTGTGTGTGAGTTTTTGGTGCCCGGGGGAAGGGTGGTTGGGGTTAGGGGGTTGGGGGGGTGTGTGGGGATTTTCTAATGGGTAAGGGTGGGTGTGTGGGATTCTAAAGGGGTCGGGAGGGTTTGGGTTTTTATAGGGTGTGTGTAGAATCTAATGGTGTCAGAGGGTAGAGTGGTGGGGATATCTATGGTGTCAGAGGGGGAGAGTGTGTTTGTGAGATATCTAAAGGGTCGGTGGTAGAGTGTGTGTGTGAGTTCTTGGTGTAGAGGGGAGAGTGTGTGGGGTATTAAAGTGTCGAGGGTAGGGTGTGTGTGGAATCTAAGGTTCGAGGGTTAGAGTGTGTGTGTGAGATATTAATGTTAGAGGGTGAGGTGTTTTTGTGGGTAAATGGTTTTCGAGGGGAAAAGGGGGGGGGGGGTAGAGGGTGGGGGTGTGGGGTATCTAATGGTGTCAGGGAGGTAGATTTTGTTTGTTGGGGACAATTTTAAAGGGGGGTTGTTTGTGTTTTTTTGTTTTTTTTTGTTTGGGTGTTGTGTGTGGGGTGTTTTTGTGTGTGTGTGTGGTGGTGTGGTGTGTGTGTGTGGGTGTGTGTGTGTGTGGGGGTTTGGGGTTTGGCCCTAGGGGGAGTGGATGATCTTAGGAGGGGTGGTGAGGAGGGAGGAGACAGCGGAGGGAGGAGGGGAAAAGGCAGGAGAAGCTGCCCGACCTTTAACCCCAACCCCCCAAATCAGGGCTTAGACCGACAACACCAGGTGAGGACGGGAGGGGAGGGTTTAGTGTGGTTTAGGGGGTTTAGGGGTGTTTTAGTGTGTGTGTGTGTGGGTTTTGTGGGGTTTGTAGGTGTTTAGTGGGGGTTTTGTGTGTGTGTTAGTGGTTGTTTTGTTTTGGTGTGGGTGTGTGGGTTTTGGGTTTTGTTTCTTTTTGTGTGTTGTGGTCTTAGTGTCTTAGTGTGTGTGTGTCTTAGTGTGTGTTAGTGTGTGTGTGTAACTTAGTGTGTCTTAGTGTGTGTGTGTGTGTGTCTTAGTGTGTGTTAGTGTGTGTTTGTCACCATGTCTGTCTGTTCCTCCTTTGGTGGCTGTCTTTCCGTCCTGTCCTTTTGCCTTTTAACAAGAGAGAAGAACATACTTTTGTTTAATGTCTCATTTTGGGTGTGTTTATGGATCACTACTGTGTGTGTATGTGTGTCGGTATAACAGTGTATAGACCAGTGTTCTCGGCTCCCTGGTCCTGGAGGACTATAGAGTGTGCAGGTTTTTGTTTTGGCCCAGCACTAACACACACCATCACTGGGTGGTTAATTGATTAGTTGAATCAGGTGTGCGTGTGTGTTCCTGTGTCAACCTCTCTGTGTCTGTTTGTCGTGTCGTTCACCTTCTTCAACACACACACACACACACACATCCGCAGGCACGCACACATCCACACGCACACACACACACACAAACACACACACACACACACACACACACACAAAAAACCTACGGGTAAATCGGTGGCATTATTGATATGCGATTCAATGGTTTTAGCGTTGCATACTAATGTTAGTGCTTTATGCTAATACTAGCCTTGGTTTCTCAAATGACTGCCTCGCCTGGTTCACCAACTACTTCTCAGATAGAGTTCAATGTGTCAAATCGGAGGGCCTGTTGTCTGGACCTCTGGCAGTCTCTATGGGGGTGCCATAGGGTTTAATTCTCGGGCCGACTCTATTCTCTGTGTATATCAATGATGTCGCTCTTGCTGCTGGTGACTCTCAGATCCACCTCTACGCAGACGACACCATTTTGTATACATCTGGCCCTTCACTGGACACTGTGTTAACAAACCTCCAAACGAGCTTCAATGCCATACAACACTCCTTCAGTAGCCTCCAACTGCTCTTAAACACTAGTAAAACTAAATGCATGCTCTTCAATCAAACGCTGCTTGCACCCGCCCGCCCGACTAGAATCAGTACTCTCAGCGGGTCTGACTTAGAATATGTGGACAACTACAAATACCTAGGTGTCTGGTTAGACCATAAACTCTCCTTCCAGACTCACATTAAGCATCTCCAATCCAAAGTTAAATCTAGAATCGGCTTCCTATTTCGCAACAAAGCCTCCTTCACTCATGCTGCTAAACATGCCCTCGTAAAACTGACTATCCTACTGATCCTTGACTTCGCCGATGTCATTTACAAAATAGCTTCCAACACTCTACTCAGCAAATTGGATGTAGTCTATCACAGTGCCATCCGTTTTGTCACCAAAGCCTCATATACTACCCACCATTGTGACCTGTACGCTCTCATTGGGTGGCCCTCACTACATATTCGTCGCCAAACCCACTGGCTCCAGGTCATTTATAAATCACTTCTAGGCAAATCCCCCCCTTATCTTAAATCATTGGTCACCATAGCAACACACACCCATAGTACAGTGAGGGAAAAAAGTATTTGATGAGCCAAATATAGTAATCTCTCTCTCTCTCTCTGTATAATACTGCACATTTCCTTAAATTTATTGTGGACCTTGTGGCATGTCTGGTGGGGTAAGTGTGTGTGTTAGTGCTGTGTGTAAGTTGACTATGCAAACAATTTGGAATTTCCAACACATGAAGTCTATCCTCAACTCTTAGCCAAGAGAGACTGGCATGAATAGTCTTAATATTAGCCCTGTGATTACAATGAAGAGCAAGACGTGCAGCTCTGTTCTGGGCCAGCTGCAGCTTATCTAGGTCTTTCCTTGCAGCACTTGACCATATGACTGGACAATAATCAAGATAAGATCAAACTAGAGCCTGCAGGACTTGCTTTGTGGAGTGTGATGTTAAAAAAGCAGAGCATCTCTTTATTACGGACAGACCTCTCCCCATCTTTACAACCATTTAATCTATACAGTGAGGGAAAAAAGTATTTGATCCCCTGCTGATTTTGTACGTTTGCCCACTGACAAAGACATGATCAGTCTGTAATTTTAATGGTAGGTTTATTTGAACAGTGAGAGACAGAATAACAACAAAAAAATCCAGAAAAACACATGTCAAAAATGTTAATTGATTTGCGTTTTATTGAGGGAAATATGTATTTGACCCTTCTGCAAAACATAACTTAGTACTAGGTGGCAAAACCCTTGTTGGCAATCACAGAGGTCAGACGTTTCTTGTAGTTGGCCACCAGGTTTGCACACATCTCAGGAGGGATTTTGTTCCACTCCTCTTTGCAGATCTTCTCCAAGTCATTAAGGTTTCGAGACTGACGTTTGGCAACTCGAACCTTCAGCTCCCTCCACAGATTTTCTATGGGATTAAGGTCTGGAGACTGGCTAGGCCACTCCAGGACCTTAATGTGCTTCTTCTTGAGCCACTCCTTTGTTGTCTTGGCCGTGTGTTTTGGGTCATTGTCATGCTGGAATACCCATCCACGACCCATTTTCAATGCCCTGGCTGAGGGAAGGAGGTTCTCACCCAAGATTTGACGGTACATGGCCCCGTCCATCGTCCCTTTGATGCAGTGAAGTTGTCCTGTCCCCTTAGCAGAAAAACATCCCCAAAGCATAATGTTTCCACCTCCATGTTTGACGGTGGGGAAGGTGTTCTTGTGGTCATAGGCAGCATTCCTCCTCCTCCAAACACGGTGAGTTGAGTTGATGCCAAAGAGCTCGATTTTGGTCTCATCTGACCACAACACTTTCACCCAGTTCTCCTCTGAATCATTCAGATGTTCATTGGCAAACTTCAGACGGCCCTGTATATGTGCTTTCTTGAGCAAGCGGACCTTGCGGGCGCTGCAGGATTTCAGTCCTTCACGGCGTAGTGTGTTACCAATTGCAAACGTACAAAATCAGCAGGGGATCAAATACTTTTTTCCCTCACTGTATGCGTTCCAGCAGGTATATCTCACTGGTCATCCCCAAAGCCAACACCTCCTTTGGCCGCCATTCCTTCCAGTTCTCTGCTGCAAATGACTGGAACGAACTGCAAAAATCTCTGAAGCTGGAGGCACTTATCTCCCTCACTAACTTTAAGCATCAGTTGTCAGAGCAGCTTACCGATCACTGCACCTGTACACAGCCCATCTGTAATTAGCCCACCCAACTACCTCTACTATCTCCATATTGTTATTTACATTGTTATTTATTTTGCTCATTTGCACCCCAGTATCTCTATTTGCACATCATCTTCTGCACATATATCACTTTTGCACTATGGCCTATGTATTGCCTTGCCTCCATAACTTACTACATTTGCACACACTGTATATAGATTTTCTATTGTGTTGTTGACTGTACGTTTAGTTTATTCCATATGTAACTCTGTGTTGTTGTTTTTTTTTATCGAACTGCTTTGCTTTATCTTGGCCAGGTCGCAGTTGTAAATGAGAACCTGTTCTCAACTGGCTTACCTGGTTAAATAAAGGTACAATTCTGCCTAGCCTGGTTAAATAAAGGTACAAAAAAAAAGTGGAAAAAAATCATCTCTGAACATTTGATGGTTGTTCTCCTGCTGTGATTCTTCTTCTCCTAACCCACTAACACCCCAGTCACTCAGACAGCAGGGGTGTGTTCACTAGTTTAAACGCTGCACAACAGCTGCACCTTAGATCTGTCCTTTAGGCCAATGTCTTCCCCTGACCTCTGACCCCTGTGCAGTGTGCTACTTAGTGACCGCGACCCCAGCCCTGCTCACTCTGTCTTGAAAACCTCATCTCTCTCTCATTGACTATCCCACACACACACACACACACACACACACACACACACACACACACACACACACACACACACACACACACACACACACACACACACACACACACACACACACAAAGGAGCTGTTTGCATGCTTGGCCCCTCATTACCACTCCTCTACTTTACTTCTCTTTTTCTCTCTTTCCTCCATACCTCTTTCCCTTCTCTTTCTATTCTATTGCTCTCTCTCTTTCCACCGCTCTCATTTCCCTTTCCTCTCTCTCTCTTTCTCCACCTCACTTTTTTCCCCCTCCTGTTTTCCATCTCCATCTCTCTCTCGGTATCTCTCCTCCTGCTCTCTCGTTAACATTCTCAGCTGTGCTCAGCCCCCTGCATGAGGCTAATGCTCGTGTTGGATTGGCTGTAGCTGCATGCATGAGGAGCACTGGGGAGCCAATCACACAGGAACAGGATATGGAGCAGGAAACAGGACGCGCCAGTCCACAGGGGAATTGCAGGTACCATAACTGTCCCCTGTGTGTCCCTAAAACCCACACCAGGACACCTCTGTGTGTGTCCCAGCTCTGCCTGTCCAAAACCCACCCCAGGACCCCTCTGTGTGTGTCCCAGCTCTGCCTGTCCAAAACCCACCCCAGGACCCCTCTGTGTGTGTCCCAGCTCTGCCTGTCCAAAACCCACACCAGGACACCTCTGTGTGTGTCCCAGCTCTGCCTGTCCAAAACCCACCCCAGGACCCCTCTGTGTGTGTCCCAACTCTGCCTGTCCAAAACCCACCCCAGGACCCCTCTGTGTGTGTCCCAACTCTGCCTGTCCAAAACCCACCCCAGGACACCTCTGTGTGTGTCCCAGCTCTGCCTGTCCAAAACCCACCCCTGGACCCTTCTGTGTGTGTCCCAGCTCTGCCTGTCCAAAACCCACCCCAGGACCCCTCTGTGTGTGTCCCAACTCTGCCTGTCCAAAACCCACCCCAGGACCCCTCTGTGTGTGTCCCAGCTCTGCCTGTCCAAAACCTACCCCAGGACCCCTCTGTGTGTGTCCCAGCTCTGCCTGTCCAAAACACCCCAGGACCCCTCTGTGTGTGTCCCAGCTCTGCCTGTCCAAAACCACCTCTGTGTGTAGTGCACTAGAGTGGAAAGTGTCTGTACTCTGAGATAGATGGTCTGTATCTGTCTGTGTTGGTCAATGCTGATCTTGACTGGTTTGTACTAGTACTTGATGGTGAGATATCTGGTCCAGACCTGTCTAGGAGTATCTGTCTGTGAGGGGCTAGTGCTGGGTTGGCTGGGAGGTATACACTATCCTCCTCTTCTTGTTTTGAACTCCTCTATCTCATTTATTCTTTATCCCCTTATTCCTCCTCTCCTCTATATACTTCTTTATCCTCTTCCTCCTCTCCTCTATTGATCAAAATAGAGCTGTGATTTATGTTGACTGCTGCAAAGGCTTCTGGGTAATTATTACTGAGCCAGCCAGCGGAGATGTGGAGAGTTAATGTGGGGTATGAGGGATGGTGTGTGAGTGTGTGTGTGTGTGTGTGGTGACATAGTGCTGTATAGCTCTATAAATCCTACATTACACAGTCGTAAACCTGACATAAGAGGCTTTTATTTCAACATATTTTGTCATTTTTATTTTAAAAAAATCTTTATTTACTCTGACTGTGATTGGCTTCTGAGTGACTCTGACCTGCCCCTTCTCTCCTGTGGTCCAATCAGTGAACAGTCTGGCCCGCTCCAAGTACTGCTGACGCCCAATCAGGAGGGGGAAGAGGTTCGGCCAGCCTACCAGGCTGCAACCCTGGGCCCTGGTCAGCCCCCTCTCCACTCATCCCTCCCACGCCCTTCCACCAACAGCCCCCCTGCACAGGTTGAGGAGGGTAAGAAGCAACAGGGGATGAGGCTGGAGGAGTTGTTGCAGGTTGGGGGTGTGTGTGTGAGACCTCTAAGCAGACAGCTGGCCATCTCTCTCCCCTCTCTACCTCTCGGACTCTGGGATATATCACACACACACACACACACTCCCCCCTCACACACACACTCTTACTCTGACCCCCAACACACACACCCTCCACCCTCACGGACAAACCCTGAGCATCCACACACACACTCCGACCGTCTACCCACCCCCCGCTCCTACCGCAGTCAGCCCCACCCCTCTCCCTCCACTGCCTCTCCTCATTGGCCCGATCAAGGTTCTGCCGCCAACACCGTCACACGTCATTGGTCCTCCTGGAGCTTGGACCGCCCAGATGCCGTGGTTACGCCATATGACACACCTCCAGACCGCCGCCTCTCCGTTAGGCCACATCTCCCCTACCGAAACTACAACTCCCAGCCTGCCCCTCGGCAGCATGACCCCTGTGACCCTCAGGAGGCAGGGTTATCAGAGCTGGACTTCCTGTACCGGGCCAGCCTCCAGGCAGGAAGTAGAGGTACGTACTGCAGGCTGTAGTTGTGTGTATGTAGCTGTGTGTCTAGTAAATGTATGAAGGTGTGTATGTACAGTGGGGCAAAAAAGTATTTAGTCAGCCACTATTTGTGCAAGTTCTCCCACTTAAAAAGATGAGAGAGGCCTGTAATTTTCATCATAGGTACACGTCAACTATGAAAGACAAATTGAGAAAAAAAAATCCAGAAAATCACATTGTAGGATTTTTTATGAATTTATTTGCAAATTTTGGTGGAAAATAAGTATTTGGTCACCTACAAACAAGCAAGATTTCTGGCTCTCACAGACCTGTAACTTCTTCTTTAAGAGGCTCCTCTGTCCTCCACTCGTTACCTGTATTAATGGCATCTGTTTGAACTTGTTATCAGTATAAAAGACACCTGTCCACAACCTCAAACAGTCACACTCCAAACTCCACTATGGCCAAGACCAAAGAGCTGACAAAGGACACCAGAAACAAAATTGTAGACCTGCACCAGGCTGGGAAGACTGAATCTGCAATAGGTAAGCAGCTTGGTTTGAAGAAATCAACTGTGGGAGCAATTATTAGGAAATGGAAGACATACAAGACCACTGATAATCTCCCTCGATCTGGGGCTCCACGCAAGATCTCACCCCGTAGGGTCAAAATGATCACAAGAACGGTGAGCAAAAATCCCAGAACCACACGGGGGGACCTAGTGAATGACCTGCAGAGAGCTGGGACCAAAGTAACAAAGCCTACCATCAGTAACACACTACGCCGCCAGGGACTCAAATCCTGCAGTGCAAGACGTGTCCGCCTGCTTAAGCCAGTAAATGTCCAGGCCTGTCTGAAGTTTGCTAGAGTGCATTTGGATGATCCAGAAGAGGATTGGGAGAATGTCATATGGTCAGATGAAACCAAAATAGAACTTTTTGGTAAAAACTCAACTCGTCGTGTTTGGAGGACAAAGAATGCTGAGTTGCATCCAAAGAACACCATACCTACTGTGAAGCATGGGGGTGGAAACATCATGCTTTGGGGCTGTTTTTCTGCAAAGGGACCAGGACGACTGATCCGTGTAAAGGAACGAATGAATGGGGCCATGTATCGTGAGATTTTGAGTGAAAACCTCCTTCCATCAGCAAGGGCATTGAAGATGAAACGTGGCTGGGTCTTTCAGCATGACAATGATCCCAAACACACCGCCCGGGCAATGAAGGAGTGGCTTCGTAAGAAGCATTTCAAGGTCCTGGAGTGGCCTAGCCAGTCTCCTGATCTCAACCCCATAGAAAATCTTTGGAGGGAGTTGAAAGTCTGTGTTGCCCAGCGACAGCCCCAAAACATCACTGCTCTAGAGGAGATCTGCAAGGAGGAATGGGCCAAAATACCAGCAACAGTGTGTGAAAACCTTGTGAAGACTTACAGAAAACGTTTGACCTGTGTCATTGCCAACAAAGGGTATATAACAAAGTATTGAGAAACTTTTGTTATTGACCAAATACTTATTTTCCACCATAATTTGCAAATAAATTCATTAAAAATCCTACAATGTGATTTTCTGGATTTATTTTTCTCATTTTGTCTGTCATAGTTGACGTGTACCTATGATAAAAATTACAGGCCTCTCTCATCTTTTTAAGTGGGAGAACTTGCACAATTGGTGGCTGACTAAATACTTTTTTTCCCCACTGTATATAGTGAGTATGATCCCTGACCTCCAGCCTATGCCCTGTGTGTGTCTAGGTGGTAGTCCAGCCAGGAGGCTGCAGGGTGGGGTAGGATGGCCAGCTCGTTCCCTCACCCCCAACGCCAACGTGGAGATGAGTGTGTACCGGACTGACTGCAGCAGCACTATTGGCCGCAGTCTGAGCGGCACAATCATCAACCCGCGTCGCCATCGTCTCACCGCAACACGCAGCTTTGTGAGTGTATCCTACACACACGCACACACATGCACTGCTGCACTCCAGTGGTCATGTTGTAGACCTGCATCTCTGTTTTACCTTCAATTCTCATCTACACACTATCATCACACTGCTGGTCTCTCTCTCTCTCTCCATTCCTCTCTCTCTCTCTCTCCATCCCTCTGTCTGTCTCTCTCTCTCTCTCTCTCTCTCTCTCTCTCTCTCTCTCTCTCTCTCTCTCTCTCTCTCTCTCTCTCTCTCTCTCTCCCCTTCTGAAGGTGAATCAGACAGATGTCAGGGCCTCTGCTTCTTACCTAATCTCCTCTGAGACCCTGTATTGCTACAGCATCATCATCATCTTCATCATCATCATTACCATCACACCAGTCCTTCCATATCTCCATTCAGGTAATGTTGACGTCACCCCTTACCCTTCACCTCTGGGGCCTGTCCGTCACTCTGTGTTGTTCCTCCCCCTGCAGGAGATGCCCAATGGTGCAGGGAGTTTCTGGTGTCTGACTGGGGTGAAGCTGTCTTCAGACCACTGATCCGCCTCCATATGCATCTACACTACAGGCTCCTTCCAGGGCAGCCCTCTGGGGTCCTTACCCTCCACACCGCTACAGGCACCTTCCAGGGCAGCCCTCTGGGGTCCTAACCCACCATACTGCTACAGGCACCTTCCAGGCCAGCCCTTTGGGACCCTAACCCTCCACACCGCTACACTGTAAGCCCAAATGTGCTGTCATTACTCAAAACGTTTGAGGAAACCCATTGCACGTAATATATACATTTTAGTCATTTAGCAGACGCTTGTATCCAGAGCGACTTCCAGGAACCACTAAGCCACGCCTCCAATTGAATTTCCCAGTGTGCCTTGACTTTTCAAGTGAATTGTAGAGTTACCACCCATGACTGTATTTGTTAGTGACAGATATGGTTGTTGAATTTATTCCTTTTTTTAGTCCTGTGACCTTCACCAAGTGAGTTCCAAGGCAAATGTTATCATTATAATCAAACTCTTTATTACAAATCTCATAAGGCCTTAATTTGAGACCTAGCTTTACCCTAATATAGTGGCCTGAAACTCATGGTTTACAGGCCACATCAGGCCTGCAAATAGAGTTGCAAACTTATGGTAATTTTCCCAAAATTCCTTGATTTTCAAAAAATCCTGGTTGAAGGATTTCTGGACAAGGTACCCAATTTGTAACCCTACCTGCAAGTCACATTAGGCCAGCTTGCAAAGTGATGTGTAAAACAGTTGACATTTTTATTCAACCGCAACCTGCATTTATAATAACCTGCCAGGGTTAGAAACAGTGTGAGGAGACTACTTAAGCCATTTAAGCTGGAACAACCATTTCAGTAATGGGTGCTAAACAATCTAAGTAAATTATTGGATTAGTTTAGAAAAATGTATATTCATCTATGTGTAGCATAATATTAATCAATCACTCAATTGATAGATATTAAAAACTATTCCAAAAAATCTACCTGCAGTAGAGCATGCTGGGAAAAAAGTTAATTTGTTATCATAACTTAAAAGAAAATGGAGTTGATGTGACTTCTCATTTAGTTTTGAGTCAGTACCACATAAAAATTTTAAGTAATAATGACTTTTCATTGACTTTGAGTTAAACTTACTAGAAGTATTTGAGTTAAAAATGCATTGGGGTTTACAGTGTACAAACATTTTCCAGGGTAGCCCTCTGGGGACCTAACCCTCCACACTGCTACAGGCACCTTCCAGGGCAGCACTGCACCTCACCCACTGCCACGATAGGGGGTTGGCCAAGGACTCCCCAACCCCAAACACACACCTCTCCCCACCTCCGCCCCTCAGTGGTCTACTGAACTCACCACTACCGCCATCTCCCATACAAAAGAAAAATGCATTGAAAAAATATTTTTGGGATGCAGTTTAGGATACATGTGGAAAATTAAAATGTTGCCAAATAATGTATTTTTTATGCATTTGTAAATGTATTTTAATGTGTGACATACATTTGTAAATGTATTTGGAATACACACGTTTGTATGGAAATATATTATTTGGCCAGTTTTTAGTATGGGCTGTCGCCACGCCCCGTCCTTCTCCAACTATTCAGTCTATGCAGTCATTCTCAGCCCCCCTCAGCAGGAATTACTCTGAAACCCCAAACTAGAAAACAACAAACTCATCTAATTACTCTTCTAGCTAGCTAGCTACTAGGCTGTTAGCCTCCTAATATGGTCTGACTCTGAACGTTAGCCTGCTAGCCTGCCCCTCTTTGGGTCTATAAATGAGGAAGTAGATTAGCTAGCCTGGTTTAGCCTCTGACCTCCCTGCTTTACCTGCCTCAATCAGAGGGGCTCTGGAACCTTCAGATTGACAGATCCACAGGGAAAGGGGGTTATCGATTAGCCACGTCTCTTCCTCTTTCTTATTGGGCATTTCCTGTCGGATGATGGCACACCACACCTGGCTGTGCTGTTTCCACGGCAACCCCAGGACTAGTGCGTACGTGCCTACATAGCTACGTATAGGCTGAACTCTAATAATAACTAAAGTAATGTACAGAAAAACGATGTATGAAACCTGTGTGTTATTAAGACCTTTTGGAATGTTCATATTAATAACGATAATGATGAAGATATTGATAATTTAGTGGTTCTGGGGTGAGTGACCTTCACAAGTGTCCTGCTGGAGGTCACCTGACTGATAGTTGTAGCTGCCAACGCTGCGCTCCCATTTCTACCGGGAAAAACTAACAGACTAGCGCTTAATTTTCTCCTAGTTATTTTTTTGATATATGTTTTTTTTAACAGATAACGGTAGCTAAATGGAACAAACTTTTGCACATCTGATGTAACGTTATAAAGAGCTTATGATAGAGGGATGGTAAGGGAACTCAAGTGTAATTTGGGAAGTGTATTTGCTGAAGGGTACTTTTTGAAGTGTACTTGAAGGGTAAATGTTTATTTGAGGCCTCAGGTTAACATGATTGGTTCTTAGTTACTGAATCTTCCTTTGGACCTTTCAGTCCGGCTCTGACCCTGATGTTACTCAGATATGAATGGTGAAACACTATATTATAAATATAAATATAAATATATATATATGTACTGTATGTATTATAGATATATTTTAAGGCCATGCCATGATATATTTTATTAATGGGAATAGTCTCTCACCCTCCAGTTGTAACAGAGTTATAAAACAGTTATAAGTAAGTAACACATTTAATTTCTCTGATGTAGCCTACTGACATGTCTTGAACATTTTACGATATGTTTTAACCTACTGAACATGTTATGTCATAATATATACATAACATATCTATGTACATACACAATATGTACAAAGATATAATACATGATAACTAATCCCTATTTGGAGACCAGTGGCCCAGTGCAGAATGAGATCGAGACAGAACTGATAAATTATTGTTTTATCTAAACCAAAGGTTGGCACTTAGACAAAGATCTCTGTCTGTCTTTAACGTCATTTTATTTATTTTAATTGATCTGTTTGTTTGTTTGTTTTGTTGCTGTTGTTTGTGTTGTGGACGTGGGAGAATGTAGCCAACTGTAGCGCATGAGTCCGCTATGCAAATCAACCTTCCCTTCTGACCCTTGACCTCTGACCTGACAGACAGGAAACAGGAAGTAGATACGCCCACGAACTGACACTTTATTTACAAAAACAAGTACAGAAGATACGTGATTAAATGCTGCTGTTGAACTCTGTAGTAAGTCATAGGCTCGATCCCAAATGGCACCATATTCCCTCTATAGTACACACTACTTTTGGCCAGAGCCCTACATAGGGAATAGTGTGTGATTTCAGATTTGCACCATATACATACATAGTACTGAAGTGGTTCACTATGTTGTAAGAAGGTAGTACTGAAGTGGTTCACTATGTTGTAAGAAGGTATACTGTATACTATGCTAGGAACAGCCAATGGAAATTCAATGCAAAGAGTGATAGGGAAGAAAGACAGAGAAAGAGAGCGATGATGCATGAAAGAAAGAAAGGATGAAGGAGAGAGAAGTATGTATGTGTGTGAACTAGAAAGTGGGGATAAAAGAAGGCTATGAGTCATTTCCAGAGCGAGAGAGAGGGATTTGTGTATGTGTATGTGTGGGTTTGTTAATGTGTGGATGTTTGTGTTGGTACTGGGTATCGTTGCTCGGGGAAAGAGGGATCCTGTATTTTTGCAATAAAGTTATTACCACTGCTCTCCTACTGGGGACGTAACCGCTCATCTGGCTCTGTTTTCTCATTGGCTGCTTTGTCTGTGAATGGAGGAGCCTGGGTATCATGGCATTTATGCCTAATTGGTACCTGACGTAAGTGCCAAAGCAAGAATGCAATTAGCCATGCAAATGGCTTCCCTGCGCATAAATATGTCAGCCAAATTTTGCCATTGTGCAGTAGCTAAATGTGTTCTTGCATTGCGTAATCCTTACGTCCGGTATAAATTTGGCTTTATGGAGTGTACACCACACTACGTAGTGAAACTGATAGTGGTCCGACTATGACTCATAACCAGGTCCTGGCCAATGAGGATGTAGCTGAAGTCTGCCAATCAACCAGAAGAGGTCAGTATAGAGATTTACAGCAACAATATAGTAATCTCTCTCTCTCGCTCTGTATAATACTGCACATTTCCTTAAATTTATTGTGGACTTTGTGGTATGTCTGGTGGGGTAAGTGTGTGTGTTAGTGCTGTGTGTAAGTTGACTAAACAAACAATTTGGAATTTCCAACACATGAAGGAAATGGTCATCTGTAGCTCAGCTGGTAGAGCACGGCGCTTGCAACGCCAAGGTAGTGGGTTCGATCCCCGGGACCACCCATACACAAAAATGTATGCACGCACGACTGTAAGTCGCTTTGGATAAAAGCGTCTGCTAAATGGCATATTATTATTATTATGAATGCTTCTTATAAAAACAAGAAGTGACGCAGTCAGTCTATCCTCAACTCTTAGCCAAGAGAGACTGACATGAATAGTCTTAATATTAGCCCTGTGATTACAATGAAGAGCAAGACGTGCTGCTCCGTTCTGGGCCAGCTGCAGCTTAACTAGGTCTTTCCTTGCAGCACTTGACCATATGACTGGACAATAATCAAGATAAGATCAAACTAGAGCCTGCAGGACTTGCTTTGTGGAGTGTGATGTTAAAAAAGCAGAGCATCTCTTTATTACGGACAGACCTCTCCCCATCTTTACAACCATTTAATCTATACAGTGAGGGAAAAAAGTATTTGATCCCCTGCTGATTTTGTACGTTTGCCCACTGACAAAGACATGATCAGTCTATAATTTTAATGATAGGTTTATTTGAACAGTGAGAGACAGAATAACAACAAAAAAATCCAGAAAAACGCATGTGAAAAATGTTATGAATTGATTTGCAGTTTAATGGGGAAATAAGTATTTGACCCCTCTGCAAAACATGACTTAGTACTTGGTGGCAAAACCAGACGTTTCTTGTAGTTGGCCACCAGGTTTGCACACATCTCAGGAGGGATTTTGTCCCACTCCTCTTTGCA